TTTTCAAGGCCGCCCAGAGCCAGACCGGGCCCCAGGACAATTCTCCAGATCGGGCCCCGCAACAATTTACAATTTTATAACTTCAATACTTGGATTTCTCTAAAAAAAGTCTTCAAGTAAAAAACTTCCCCCCTCTTGTGTCGAACTTCTGAAATTAACAAACACCACCGCTGCCGGCCCTGAATATTTTGCCCCCAACATAGAAAAGTATGTTCGTATTTCATAGGTGACTTGATGTTTTTTGTTTGACATAGGTGCATTTTTATCATGGAGGTATAATACTAATGGAGATGCCATGAGGTAATTGTTTTGCATATGATACGTTTTATTAAAAATTACCCCACTGGGCGTGGCTTAAATGGTTGACTAAGCAGGGTCGTATTCAAATATAATTAAAGTCCGTATGCAGAATTACAACTTTTAAATGATTTACTTACCTAAGATTTGTTTCAACATGATCGATTCGAAATTAATTTGATGACATTGCGCAATTATGACTTCTACACTATTTACTATTATTTATTAACCGTTTTCCGATATATGACCTGTGCATCAGATTATACAATACAGCTAAAACACTCTCTTGGCGGCAACGGTTTGCGTCGATTTCGTCGCGCATCGCTTAAGCTCCGCCTTCGAAGGGAAAAAACGGTTTTGGTGTTCAGAAGCGTACTTAGGTAAGGTGTTGAGTCGTGCGTATAATTTCGTTGATTGTATAATTTCGTGGAGCCTATAATTTCGTTGATTTTATTTGAGTTAAAGGTACTGTTATTATTTTGGTGACTCTTTAGCTATGAGTAGAATGAGTGGAAAAAAAAGACATCATTCTGTTTGTGCAGTCAAAAGCTGTTTTAATAAGGGTTATACCTGCAAGAAAACATTCTTTAGTTTTCCCAAGGACCCAAACCGATAAGTACCACATTATAAGAAATTTTCATTGTTAAAAATATAATTTATACAGGGTATCCCATTAGTGCGTTATTGTTCATTATTTTGTTGTAGATACGCAAGAAAGTTTTAAATAAAAGTTATATGGATTTGAAAAATACCTGTATTTTAAAAATATCTTTGGATATACAGGGTGTCACGTTTTTGCCTGGCAAATTAAAATGTATATTTTTTAAATGGAACACCTTGTATTTTATTTTATGATAAAATTATTAACTCCCTAAATTATTGTAAAGACATACAGAAAAATTTTATCAGGTATGTGTGTGATTACCTTTTAATAAAAGCCTTGCGGATCCACTCCTCTGCGATACCTGTCTTAAATATAACAAAGATCACGTTGAATTAGATGATTTTTCTTTTATTGCTTTTTAAAGGCATATGATAACGCCAATCCAGATACATTTGGAAATCTGCAACTGTCAAATGATGAATTTGTAGAACTAATATTCAATATTGAAAAGATATTTCAAAATAATTTTGAATAATTGGCTACAAAAAATAACATTTGTGCCACACTTTTAGAATTAATTAACCCAATACCCTTTAGTCATCCATGCTAACGTTTTACAAAAGAATAACTTATTTTATTGTATGTTTAATCTCAATAACTAAAAAATATACTGACAATTAGTTTGACAGAATTGTCATTTATTTAAAATTTTAAAAATAATAGCAGTCGGTTGATCAAAATATGAACGGTGATTGGCGAATTTATTTTTTTTTTGCAGTGTTCTCACTACCTAGAATGGATATGAAATATATTCGTTCAATTGAAGGCAATAGCATACTTTTTCGTTTTGTAATCTGTGCATGGATATTAGCCAATCTATGCACATACTACAAAACGAAAAAGTATGTTATTGCGTTCAACTATGAATATATTTCATATCCATTTTAGGTAGTGAGAACACTTTAACAAAATTAAATCTACAAATCACAGTTCATATTTTGGTCACCCAACTCCTATTATTTAAATTTTTTTAAATAAGTGACAATTCTGTTAAACTAATTGTCAATATATATTTTAGTTATTGATATTAAATATACATTAAAATTTTTGTGTAGACTCGATAAATAATAGCATTTTTGTTTTTATTGTGTCCACATTTAAAAAAAAATAAATTTTAATCAAACTACATGATACTAATTTAATTACGAGTATTAAAACTAAAGTCCTGAAAGTTTCGGTGAAGATGAGGACAGAGCATCTGCCTTCCACGCGAAAAGCCCGGGATCGAATCTAGGCCGAGGACTAATTAATTTTTCATGTTAATTTTATTTTATAAATTAGTCAACTTCGTAAATTATTTTAAAATTAGTTATTTTGTCTAAATAACCTAAAATAATTTTTTAAATTTGTAGATTTTCGTTAGTGGGTCGTAGAAAAAATATACTGACCATATCGAGTGGATTGTTCATATCACAATCAGACGATTGAGTACTCCGCATACGACGTTGTGCTTAAACTTCGTCTTTGTGTGATATTGCTATCATATCCACCCTTGTTGAACAAACTATAATTTATTTGTTTTCTTGGTTTAAACCAAAACTTAAGTTTTACATCAGAAATAGGAACTAAATTAATTTACTTTTCAAGTTTTCTTGTAGAAATCGATATTACTTTCTCCAAGTACAAATTTAGTACCTACCTAAAATAAGTACTAATTATGTAATATCGTGTAATATTGTAATTCAAATTTCACATTACTATAAAGTTTCAAAATTCCCTACTTCGGTATGGTCAGATAAAAATTGAATATATTATATTAATAAAAACTGTCAAAGTATTAATTGTACAAATCTGTATTTCAATTAATAAGAATACATCTAAATATAACCAATATTGTTAAAATAAAAGCACAAATTCTTTATAATTCCAAAATACCATAGAGTTCCCAGACCTCAGTCGAAGCATTCGTTTATCTAGGTATAAACCCTTTGCGCGAAGAGTAACACTTGCCAGAGACACGGGGTACCACTTGATTTGCATCCACGAGCGTGACACAATTCTTTAACAATTGAAGCCCTTGGTGTAAAAAGGATCCAAGCCACAATTTGTCGTGAAGTGACTGTTTTAGCTCAAAACATTTGTTAACGAGGATTTTACTAGCCACATACAAATTATTTTACCTCTAATCCGAAAGATGTGCTATTTTTCGTAATATTTATATTTAAATAATGTTTCTAATTATATTTGACAGATTTAAAACAAATTAAAAATTTAATTTCCCAAAACTTACTTAATATGGCATGTAACCAACCTTATTACGCCAAGGTTTTCAATTTTTTCAATATTAAAAAAATTGTTTAATCCGGGCCCGACTTTTCCCTCGAATCTAACAGAGATAGCACCATTCCGTCTTGCTTGGTTCTCGACCGCCAGATCAAAGACGCCGACACGGAGTTGTGGAGCTGTATTGTATAAGCTGTGGTATAACTTTATGGTTAAAAATAGATGGAAGAAAACCATGATCAAAACTACTCTGTCAAAACCAATCGGAACTAAAAAGACTCAGATATTAGTTGTTGGTTTTATTTATGTTTGAAATAATTAATTATATAGGGTAGGTACATATATTACTAAAATTGCAAGCAAGTACTTACTAAATAAGACTATGCTTAGAATGCGAATATTCTTCATTTTAATTTTGAAGTTTCTTATAAGTTCCCAACAAAAGTATCTATATGATTTGCTTAAAAAACTTCAAAAAATATATAATTATAGTTCAAATAAGTGTAAAGTATCTTATGACACCAAAAATTTCTTAATAAGAAATTTTTTTATTATTTAAAAAAATATTTATTGACCTTTAAACAACACTATTTTGTTGTTTTGATGTCTTATGCTAGCAGCTTTATTAACTCTAGTTTTATTATAGTTATCTAAGTATTAATATAGTTATTTGTCTTTATTATAAAGTTAGTCAAGCCAATGTTCTTTATTAAGTTAGTTATTTAAGTTTTATTGTAAATAAAGTGTATACTAACTAAACATTCATTTATTGTCGGAACAGCATTCTTCTTCAATCTGACCCTATACTCACTCTTATCAAAAAATTCTTCCTTGAAGTGAATAGAGCGCAACATTGGGTACCTGATATCTTAGAAGTGGCGTGTGTACATTAATAAAATATTTTAAATCGAACATAAATGAAACTTCTAAGGTGTCAGAGGCTACAATAAACTTTTTTAGTCTTGTGCAAGAGTTATATAATGTTTTTTCGTCATCCACAAAAAGGTGGGATGTGTTAAGTTTAAAGCCTTTAAGTGATACAAGATGGTACCAATAAAAAAAAGTCCTACGAGCAAAATCATATCGTCCTTCCTCTTAGTGATTTAAAAAAAGGTCAAAAAAAAGGTACAAACAGTCAAAAAGGTCCAAAAAAGGTTAAAAAATGTTCAAAAAGGTCCAAAAAAGCCTAAAAAGGTCCAAAAAAGTAAAAAAGTCCAAAATGTCCAAAAAAAAAAGTCTACAAAGGCTTTGCAAAGCTCTAGGGCTCCGCAAACTTCATTTAATTAAGTTTTTCGAAAGTCTTCTAGAAATAGCTGAAAATAATTCTTTTCACATTGATGGAAAACATAAAGCGAGTTCCCTCTTAACGTATGTAAGGAATTTTCAATTTATTTGTGGAATTATTATTTAGCATGCTTAAGGGGCGCTAGTAGCCCTTACGGGGGCCCTGGACGCAACATAATATAACCTATATCTTAACAATAAAATAAACAAACCAAAAGTAATGTCAAACTCTGGTCGTCAATAGATTTAGAACTATTTTTTACACTCTGTGATTTTACACAAATTATTTCAGCTCCTATTACGGTTATTATTTTATATAATTTTTCACAATAAGTTTATTAATAATATCTATATCATAACTATTAACAAAGCGATTGTAGGTTACCATGACTATTACCACGTTGCCGTAGTAACATTCTTACAGAATGGAATAATTGTCAGTTGAGAGCACCAGAATATATATATATATATATATATATATATATAACCAAAAACTGTCATATACTACATCATAAACATACATATGACTTACCCTTGTTCTGCCAAGCAATAGTGCGTCCATTTCTCCCTCTGGATTGGCGTTTATGGTAGCAACGGTAGAGATTACGGGTTTAATATCTGGCACCTCACTTGCCATTACCTACTCAAGATGCCGGTATTTTTTCGCGGACTCGAACATATACAATTTTAAACATATAACATTAAGAGCATGGACTAAACATTTATGAACACCGATCTTATATAAAAAAATATCTAATTTTAATATTAAAGGACCAATTTGAATTGAAAAAATAGGTTTCTATGATATATCTATTTCTGATGAAATTGAGTTTGGCCCCAATAAGTATACAAACATTTATATAATAATATATAGACACTTAGTTAGCTAATTGAGCACAAAAATCTAATCACTAGGTATATATATGTAATAACATCAACAACCTAAAGGTATACTTATCTCTTTCTAAAAATAACTCTATTTTGTATAATGGACCCAAATATGATATCAAAAATACTACTGTAGGATCAAACTATTTTTGAAAATATATATGTTTCTCCAAAATGATATGCAAACAATTTTTTTAAATCTATTACATTTTAAAAATATTAATTTAGTTAATTTTAGTTTTATCTTTATTCATTTTGTTATTCATTTTAAAATATTCATATTAAATTTTTAGGTTATTTGACACTGTCGATGTTTTAATATAAGAATTGAAGAAACATTGAGTTGCTTTGCCACTAGTTAGTGAACGAATGAAAGATAAAACCACACCTCCAGCGCCTCTACCGTGAGACAGTGAATGTATGTATTGATTTTTCAATAATTCACAATATGGATATAAAAATTTAGCTACATGTTTACAATTTATTTTAAATTTTATTTTATTTATCATTAATTTAAATTCCTAAAAGTCTACGTTGATTAAAATTTAGTTATATTGTGGGTGTCGGTCATTATTGATTGCTTTGTGGTAAAGCTTGACAGACAACTGTAAAATTTTGCAACTACCCTTTTGGTTTGTAAGATGGCGCTTAAAATGGTTATTGAAATGTAGTTATATTTAAAAATGGACGAATAGTATGTACTTACTTGAAATGAGCATGAGATCATCTCTTTCTCAGGTTGAGTTCAGTTTTTTATTATTTATTGTTATTAATTTTTTATTTATTACCAACCAAATCAAAATCTATTACTGATAGATTTCAAAATTTAAAATAAATTCATATTTATAAATTTTAATTATCAGTATACCTAATTTTTATTCCCCCTGTATGTCAAATTTCGTTTAAGCATTATTTTCAACATAATTATTATTATATACAAACTTAATTTTTGAGAAAATAAAGAAAACAATCTATATTTACTATAGCATTGGCATCCAAACTTACCATGTTCCTTTGTCCAGTTGAAATTGGAACCTTTGTTTCGTCCCTAATTCCAAAACTAATAGATTTATAAACTTCAAAATTTCAGAACACATTTATAAAGAGTGTAGAATCATTATTTTACAATCAAAATTCTTCAATTCCAACAGCTGTTAAAGATAGAGAGTATCAAAGTTAAATTCCTACTTGTTAAAGTTGAAATTGGAACCTTTGTTTCGTCCCTAATTCCAAAACTAATAGATTTATAAACTTCAAAATTTCAGAACACATTTATAAAGAGTGTAGAATCATTATTTTACAATCAAAATTCTTCAATTCCAACAGCTATTAAAGATAGAGAGTATCAAAGTTAAATTCCTACTTGTTAAAGTTGAAATTGGAACCTTTGTTTCGTCCCTAATTCCAAAACTAATAGATTTATAAACTTCAAAATTTCAGAACACATTTATAAAGAGTGTAGAAAGATTATTTTGTAAACAAAATTCTTCAATTCCAACAGCTATTAAAGATAGAGAGTATCAAAGTTAAATTCCTACTTGTTAAAGTTGATATTGGAACCTTTGTTTCGTCCCTAATTCCAAAACTAATAGATTTATAAACTTCAAAATTTCAGAACACATTTATAAAGAGTGTAGAATCATTATTTTAAAAGCAAAATTCTTCATTTCCAACAGCTATTAAAAATAGAGAGTATCAAAGTTAAATTCCTACTTGTTAAAGTTGAAATTGGAACCTTTGTTTCGTCCCTAATTCCAAAACTAATAGATTTATAAACTTCAAAATTTCAGAACACATTTATAAAGAGTGTAGAATCATTATTTTACAATCAAAATTCTTCAATTCCAACAGCTATTAAAGATAGAGAGTATCAAAGTTAAATTCCTACTTGTTAAAGTTGAAATTGGAACCTTTGTTTCGTCCCTAATTCCAAAACTAATAGATTTATAAACTTCAAAATTTCAGAACACATTTATAAAGAGTGTAGAAAGATTATTTTGTAAACAAAATTCTTCAATTCCAACAGCTATTAAAGATAGAGAGTATCAAAGTTAAATTCCTACTTGTTAAAGTTGATATTGGAACCTTTGTTTCGTCCCTAATTCCAAAACTAATAGATTTATAAACTTCAAAATTTCAGAACACATTTATAAAGAGTGTAGAATCATTATTTTAAAAGCAAAATTCTTCATTTCCAACAGCTATTAAAAATAGAGAGTATCAAAGTTAAATGCCTACTTGTTAAAGTTAATATTGGAACCTTTGTTTCGTCCCTAATTCCAAAACTAATATATTTATAAACTTCAAAATTTCAGAACACATTTATAAAGAGTGTAGAATCATTATTTTACAATCAAAATTCTTCAATTCCAACAGCTATTAAAGATAGAGAGTATCAAAGTTAAATTCCTACTTGTTAAAGTTGAAATTGGAACCTTTGTTTCGTCCCTAATTCCAAAACTAATATATTTATAAACTTCAAAATTTCAGAACACATTTATAAAGAGTGTAGAATCATTATTTTACAATCAAAATTCTTCAATTCCAACAGCTATTAAAGATAGAGAGTATCAAAGTTAAATTCCTACTTGTTAAAGTTGAAATTGGAACCTTTGTTTCGTCCCTAATTCCAAAACTAATGGATTTATAAACTTTAAAATTTCAGAACACATTTATAAAGAGTGTAGAATCATTATTTTACAATCAAAATTCTTCAATTCCAACAGCTATTAAAAATAGAGAGTATCAAAGTTAAATTCCTACTTGTTAAAGTTGATATTGGAACCTTTGTTTCGTCCCTAATTCCAAAACTAATAGATTTATAAACTTCAAAATTTCAGAACACATTTATAAAGAGTGTAGAAAAAATATTTTGCAAACAAAATTCTTAAATATCAAATTTATTTATGAAATTAACTATTCTTTTCATAAAATTCATGATATTAAAATTAAAGTTAAATAAACAACACTATTTAACTATTTATAAAAGTTACAAATTAACCATAACATTTGTATGGTTAGAAAAACATCACTGCCAGTCAGAATAATATTTCCATTTCTCATAAACTTTGACAGATCGCACTTACAAATATTTCATAGAAAAGTCTGACAACGTTTTCCTTGATAATGGACCTCTCTTGACCCCCTTTATCATTGTAAACGGAGAAATAATTTTTTTTCTATCCTTATACAAATTTAGATCTCTAGTCTATTCGGTAGGAGCACGAATCGCAGATGTATATTGTATATCATGTGAACATGTTCTACCGACTATATCAGACCCAGAATCTGACAATGCTGTAAACTTATATTTTATTTCTATTTAAGATATTGTTTAAAGTCTGTCTTGAGCCATGATATCTCCGGTCACGTATTGGATGCACGATCGCGATAAAAAATACAAATTTTACATTTCACCTTGTATATTTTGAAGCTTAGAGGTACATATATTTTATTTAAATGGTATTACCTTTCACAAAAATTCATTTATAAATACAGGGTTGAATATATGTATTGTGTTCTCAATCTCACTTGACAACATTGGATAAAGTATATACAATTCGTATTAATTTGACTGGGATGACTGTTGAATATATCGGGCTTCGGAACGATTGTAAGGTATGTCAGAAAAATATATATAAATATATATAAAATGAATTTTTCACCTCTTTAATCAGTGACAGAACAAAGACAGATAATCCAGTGTTAGTTGGGTTCTATTATAAATTGAAATTAAGTGGAACATTTAAAAATAATTGTAGTGTATGGATATGTAAGGATAACTAATTTTGTCATTACTTTAACAGTATTTTTTTAAATAATATAAACTTTATCGCAAAAAATTTAATTTTGCTGATTCAGCTTTATATAGTAATCAAACCAAGAAATTTCTGGGCACTGTTTTTGTATAAAACCACGTGACTCAAAACTTCCAATGACTCATATCGTAACCAACCTCAAATTTAATCAGTTAAAGTGTTAATAATCATTAAACAAAAACCTTAACTTACTTCCAACGTCCTTTTCCGTCCGAATTCGGTGTCTTTGTGTTCAGGAGAAGGCTTCAAATTTTTCGTATCGATGTGGACATTTGTCTGCATCCTGCTCGGGGGAGATCACGTAATAAGGGACGGGTAAACAAAACGCACCACCGTTACACAACAGGCGTCCGCATCATGCTGAAATCTACACCGTCGCACTACTGAAGTGTGGAAGCTCGGAAGTCTGAAAACTGAAAATTCGTGTTTACGGTCCAATACGGCGTTACCCGATCTTGACAATCATCTGTCGGTGGCGAGAGTTCTTGTTGAGTTTGTGCGTATTGTAATCAGATTCTTTTGAAAGCGCGTATGTGATGTTTTTGATATTTTCGATTGCTGAAAGGTCTAGATACTAATTTCAATTTTAAAAAATACGTTGGTGTTCTCAACTCTGAGCAAATACTTTTCTAGATAGAGTCTTCCTCTTTTCCCAGCGTTAAATTTTGTAATCAACACCTACTACCCCCGAGGGGGGGATTCAATTACCGTTTCCAAGTTTCACAGCACCAATTCCGAGAGTACGATGCGGGAAATATTCAAGCAAAAACATGTCTGGTTCAGAATAGCGTCCATATGACGTCCGGGTGCTATGTGGGCTCAAGCATCCCCAGTTTAAAGCATTTTTGGATTCATTTTTTTTCAGAATACGATGATGTGACATATTATGTAGTAAGATGACTAAGGACCGATTCCACCGTTGTGTTAAACGAAGTTTAAAATGACATTTTTACATTAACAATGTCATTTTAATCTCCGTTTAACACAACGGTGGAATCAGTCCTAAGGTAAAATGATAAAAAGTGTGATTCAATATGGCTTTGTGCCCTAATAGACATCACAGGTAGTGTAGATATGGTAACAAGGCGGGGACGACATTGACAACACAATGGCGGCTTGACTTGTCAGAGAGACGATGTTGAAAACAATAAAGCTTATGTTTAATCTCTAGAAAATTCATCTTTTTATAACAATGCTGATGATTTTAAGAATATGGATAGCAATATTTTTTGCAAATTCTTGTAAATGTAATGTGACAGATGCTCCGCTTTACCTACAAATTGAGTTGGTTGAGTTTCAAGAAGACTCATATTTGAAGTCTAATTTTGATGATGTGGAACTAAAGTTTAAATCTGATCGATAATAGCAGAGATACGCTTAGGTTCTTCTGGAATTGTCACTGTGTATGTTTTCTGTTAGAATGTGACTGATAATAGTGAAGATACACGCTGAGGTCCTTTTGGCATTACTACTGCGCAGGATTTTTCTCTTCAACGTTAATCTACATGTAATTTTCCCCACTCCTCCGTTTTTTCCGTTTAAATCTGACCAATAATAGCCAAGATATACGCTTAGATCCTTTTGGCACTGCTACTGCGTTTTTCTCTTCAACGCGTGTAATTTCCCCCACTCCTCCATTTAATCTAACCAATAATATCGAAGATATTAACTAATGCCCTTTTGGTACCAATGACCGTTACTACTTATCTACTCATTGGCACCACTGATGCTTTTTTCGAAGTTGGTAGTACTGCTTTCACAAGTCTTTTGACATGTGACGCCATCTCGTGGTAACTTTTGGAATAGTGTATCGCCATCTTGGATTACTTAACCGAGTCGCAAACCATTGACATGTGGGCTCGTACAAATGTCGTCTATCCACTTTGCTTTCTATATGTTATTGTGTTGATCCATTTATTAGAACACACTGCAGGTGAACACAAACGAGATTAAACGAACTTTTGACGTGAGAATATACTTGTATTTAAAAATACGCAAAGAAAAGCAATTTTAAGAACTCTGATGTGTAGAATTTTTTTTCCTCTGCATTTATTTTTGTCCTCAGTTGGATACCTAGCTAAATTTAAAAAATATAGGGTGTGTACAAGAAGCAGTGGCGACTCGTAGGTTTGAATGAAGGTGACGCGTTGAAAATAAAACCAAAAATACAATTTATTAATTCATTTTGAATTATTTTAGAATTTGCGGCAACTACAAGCGAAATTTTTTGATAATGTCTACAGAACTGAGTGAGTTATAGGAATCTAAAAGTTCCTGACAAGAAGATTCATTAGTTATGGCCTAAAAAAATACATTTGTTTTGCCTCCTGCGTAGATGATTCAAATTTTTCAATATGTATGAAGTTTGTAGCGAGTTTTAATCATATCAAAAACGGGTAAATTTTTACCAGCCGATGTGGAATTATACAGTAAAATAATTTAATTCATTTGGAGTTTTTTTGGTAAATTTCCATAAATTTAAACCTTAAAATGGATTTATATTCGTATTTGATGTATGGAAGTGTTATTCGATCATTTGCAATAGGAATTGGTGGGATTTTTTTCATTTTTACTTGGTTTTCCTTTAACACAACTGATCAGCTGAAGAGTTAGGCTCTCAACCTTCATAGTATAGCGTAGGTTAGGAGGTCGCTGGTTGTTGGTTAATAAATAAAACTCATAAATAAACGATTATTTATTATTACAATTCCATTAAATGAATATTATAAATTTTAATTCACTTACAATTAATAAAAAAATGTATAATTAATCTTAAACAAATAATTCGACACCCTGTACAACATATATCAGGTATATTTAACAGAAGAAGATTCTTCAAGTAGTGACTTTGAGTCGGAGGGAAGTAGGAATGAGTTATGAAAATGTCTTCCTATTTGAGGTCAGAATTTCAAATCTTTAATAGCTTGCGGTATATCTGGAAGCTTAATGTCCTTTATCTGTTGAGGAATGTTCATATTTTTTACAGCTGAAACCGCTCGAGCTGGAGCTGCAGCTATACCGGCCTAAAAATATTAAGTGCAAATATTTGAATATAAAGATTATAGAAAGAGTAATATATTTTGCTTTAGATCCAGAATCTAACAGTACATGTATCGATCTTTATTACTTATACTCACTTCTTGTTTTTCCATTTTATTTTGATCCTCTATCCTTGTTAAAATTTCGGTCATATTCGTTTCTAATACCATCCCACCCATAACGAGTTCGTTAAGTATGTAATGAACTTTATCAACGTGGAAAATTAAATCCAGTTCACATACATTTTCGAAACATTTGTCTAATGTTTCAACAAAAACTTGAATTAGATCTAAAATGCCTAATTCGCTTTCAGAGGAATCCACGCAGAATACAAAGTATAATGTGGCGTAGTGTCTGTATATTAATTTATAATCGCTGCCTCCGATTAGACTGAAACAAAATAAATGCAATGAAACTCTCACCTTAAGGACTAATAACTTAAGGCTTGGTCAGGACTGTCAGTTTTAAATAAAATATACTAAAAGCTTCATAATTTATTCATAGATACTGGTAGCATATCCATTTCACTATATTAAATCAAATACAGTGGCCCAATTAAAACTCCATAACGATTATACATATCTAGTTGATTTTCCAACTCATAAGAACATATTTTAGAGAATTACATTGTTGCCAAACTAAATATTTATAAGGTATCAACAGAAATATGTAAAAATTCTGTATATATTGCTAAAATTTTACTAAAAGTCTATCCAAAATGTAACAGAAAATCAGCAAGAAAGTAAAAACACAAACAGTAATGTCTGTTGGTAGTCTTATCTTATTGTAATGTCAATCTAAGAAAATGCCTTATATAACAACCACTACTAATATAAAAAGTTGATTTACCTATAGACCGAAATGTATCACAGTATTAATATACAGTCTCAATAATTTGACAGACTCCATATTTTTTTGTGAAACTATTTTAATTTGTAAGGTATACGTTTTAGATTCATTTTCACCATATGTAAATATTATTATTTCTAAATATAACCGAGGTATCAAGTTCATACATTTTTGGAACAATATTCTTTTTCAAATTCAAAGAAATTAAAGTATATTATGAATAGAATAGGGTCCAAGATTGACCCTTGGGGTACGTCATCTAGCAGATATTTCTCTGTACTGACCCATTTATTGCAGCAATATTCTCATTTAAATTCATAGAAATGTTATTGAAGTATATTCTGAATGCTTGGGGTACGCCATCTAGCAAATATTCCCTGTGTTCATACATTGTTGAAACAATATTCTCATTCAGATTCAAGTAAATGTTATTAAAGTATATTATGAATATAATAGGGCCCAAGATTGATCCTTGGTGTACGCTATCTAGTAGATATTCCCCTGTGTCTAACTTGTTGTGATCTATTAGTAAGATAAGACTTTTTTTAGCAATGTAGTATGATGTACAGTGTTAAAGGCACTGGTGAGATAATAGAAGCCTCTTATACAAGTATTTTGCTCTTCTAGAGTCCCAGGTAGATGTTCATAGAAGTTACTGTAGATTTTTAAGAGTTTTGAGGTCCCCTGAAACCGCTTTGACTATTTTAGACCGTTTTCGAAATATTGGAGAAGAGTGCAAATTTCGAATTTTGAAAATAATTCAAAAACGGGTAAAGAGAAAAACGCAAAATTTTAAATTATAGTTCTAATCCATCCTACAAGGGAATGACTAGATTTTGGACATATTCGGAACATCTGGGGGGGTACTTTATAGGAGGTTGTATTTTTACTTTATGGATTATATGTTATTTATGCTCGGAGAAATTTTTTTTTAATTAAAAGTGTAATGTTATTCTCTATAATTTTTGTTATATATAAAATTTTCCAAAAATAGTCCGTATCCGAGAAATTTGGTAAAAAGTGCAAAATTTTAAATTTTGGGAAAATTGTTAAAATTAAAGTTGTTTGCGATATCATTCTCTATAATTCTTGTCCTTTACATAATTTCTCTAAAATGGACCGTATCCGAGATATTTGAGAAAAAGTGCAAATTTCGAATTTTGACGATAACTCAAAAACGGATTAAAAAAATCAACAAATTTTTAATTTAAGCTTTAATTCATGCTGAGGAGAATAGATAAAATGTTGGACATAGTCGTAACATCTGGGGGGTACTTTATAGGGGGTCGTTTTTCTATTTTATATAATATATCAGTTATTTAGAGTCTAAGAAAAAAATTCTTTAAATAAAAGTTGCTTGTAATATTATTCTTTATAATATTTGTCATATACATAATTTTCCTAAAATGGGCCGTACTCGAGAAAATTGACAAAATGTGCAAAATTTGATTTTTTAAAAAATTGTTTAAATAGAAGTTGTTTGTGATATAATTCTCTATAATTCTTGTCCTATTCACAATTTCTCTAAAATGGACCGTATTCGAGATATTTGAAAAAAAGTGTAATTTCGAATTTTGACATAACTCAAAAACGGTTAAAGAAAATCACAAAATTTTTAATTTAAGCTTTAATTTATGATGAGGTGAACTGATAAAATTTTGGGCATAGTCGTAACATCTGGGGGGTACTTTATAGAGAGTCGTTTTTCTACTTTATAGAATATATGTTATTTATGCTTGTAGAAGAAATTTCTTTAAATAAAAGTTGTTTGTAATATTATTCTCTATAATATTTGTCATATACATAATTTTCCTAATATAGGCCGTACTCGAGAAATTTGACAAAAATACAAAATTTGATTTTTTTAAAAAATTGTTTAAATAAAAGTTGTTTGTGATATAATTCTCTATAATTCTTGTCATATACACAATTTCTCTAAAATGGACCGTATTCGAGATATTTGAGAAAAAGTGCAAATTTCGAATTTTGAAAATAACTCAAAATCGGATAAAAAGAAAAACACCAAATTTTAAACTTAAGCTTTAATCCATCCTACGATGACATGATTAGATTTTAGGCAGAGTCGGAACATCTGGGAGGGTACTTTATAGGAGGTCGTTTTTCTACTTTATAAAATATATCTGTTATTTACGCTTGGAGAAAAAAATTCTTCAAATAAAAGTTGTTTGTATTATTATTCTCTATAATATTTGTCATATACATAATTTTCCTAAAATGGTCCGTATTCGAGAAATTTGACAAAAAGTGCAAAATTTTATTTTTTTAAAAAATTGTTTAAATAAAAATTGTTTGTGATATCATTCTCTACAATTCTTGTCCTATACATAATTTCTCTAAAATAGACCGTATTCGAAATATTTGAGAAAAAGTGCCAATTTTGAAAAAGGGACAAAAACACCAAATATTAAATTTAAGCCTGCCCTGAACTGATTAGATTTTGATCATTTTCAAAACACCTGGGTGGTACTTTATAGAGCAATTATTTTAAGCCGTATTAGTAGGTCATACAGGGTAGCAGACACTATAGAGTGCATAATTATATCAAATAAGTAAAATAAAATGTATTTGCATTATTTCTATAAATTCCTCAAGGTATACAAATGTAAATCAGAAGAAACCTATTATTATTTAGCAGTTTAATAGTGATTTTTGATGTAGATTATTATTCTATCACATTAACATACCAAAAATGCAGTAAATTTCACTTTTTTAAAGGTATATTTCATTTATGACATGTCACCTAACCCTATTTTTAATTATACAAAATAAATCAAACTACATACCTTCCACCTTCTAAGAAATTACATACGTTATCATCTCTTTTTGAAACTAACTGAAACGTTTCTTTAATAATCTGTTGTTGCATATCTTCTGGCTGAAATCACATTAGATGAGAATAAAATATTGTTAAAACTGGGATTATACTTACAAAGTATTGATAAAATTTTGATAGCCTAGGTTTGCCATGATTATTGAACACTAAAATAGCTTTAATCATTGTGATTCGCGTTATTTACAGTTTAATAGTTGATTTGGTACGGAAAAATAATACCATTTTTTTCATTAAAAAACAATCAGCTGTAATTCTAACCTACGATTACTCTTCTTCTTTTTCTTTTAAGCGGGCCTATTTTCTCAAGGTTTGACAGTTCAACAGTGGTCTTGGTCGCAGTGGGTCAATAGTCAAAACCGCGGAGGAAGGAATTTTATTAAATTTGCTTAGGACCGATTCCATCGTTGTGTAAAACGAAGTTTAAAATGACATTTTTACATTAACAATGTCATTTTAATTTCCGTTTAACACAACGTTGCAATCGGCCCTTATTATTTACAAAAATTATGTGACAAATTTGCATTTAACGACATATAGGATAGTAATAGTCTGTAATGAAGAAAAATAATACCATTTTATTCATTAAAAAAAGAGTTAGCTGCCTCTAACCATTGTATAAAGAATTATAGTAGGATAATCCCCGTGTAACAGTTATTGTAGGTAATTGCGCCTGACATCTATTGGTACTATAATTCAACTAACGATTTTATTTGCTAGCAAGGTTGCCAAATGTACGGTAATTACCGAAATTGTACGGTAATTTCGATTAATGTACGGTATACGATCCAAAGTCATTAGCGTACATATGTACGGTAATCACATAAGAAGTATGGTAATTTTAATCTTTTTACAGCACATGTTCTTTAAAAGGACTTTGTTTTTACAAAAATATAAGCTGAGGATTTTTTTTAAAGCTAGGTAGAAGGACCAAAGGTTGACTATAACTTGACTGTCGTTTCAACTAGGAAGAAGTGGTTGGCATCATTCAATTCCTCTTTAAATTCTCTACAAACTGGTTTTTTAAAAGTCACTGCTGAGTTGTTCGTAAGGCTAGAAAATGGAATTTTCACTCTCACTCTTTCACTTACACTCTTTATAACTTGACTATCGTTTCAACTAGGAAGAAGTGGTTTACATCATTAAATTCCTCCTTAAAATCTCTACAAACTGGTTTTTTAAAAGTCACAGTTGAATTGTTCGTAAGGCTAGAAAATGGGATTTTCACTCTCACTCCCACTCTCACTCTCTCACTTACATTCTCTATAACTTGACTATCGTTTCAACTAGGAAGAAGTGGTTTATATCATTAAATTCCTCTTTAAATTCTCTACAAACTGGCTTTCTAAAAGTCACCGCTGAGTTGTTCGTAAAGCTAGAAAATGGGATTTTCACTCTCACTCCACTCTCACTCTCTCACTTACATTCTCTATAACTTGACTATCGTTTCAACTAGGAAGAAGTGGTTTATATCATTAAATTCCTCTTTAAATTCTCTACAAACTGGCTTTCTAAAAGTCACCGCTGAGTTGTTCGTAAAGCTAGAAAATGGGATTTTCACTCTCACTACACTCTCACTTACACTCTCTATAACTTGGCTATCGTTTCAACTAAGAAGAAGTGGTTTATATCATTAAATTCCTCTTTAAATTCTCTATAAACTGGTTTTTTAAAAGTCACTGCTGAGTTATTTATAAGGCTAAAAAATGGGATTTTCACTCTCACTCCACTCTCACACTTACACTCTCTATAACTTGACTATCGTTTCAACTAGGAAGAAGTGGTTTGCATCATTAAATTTCTCTTTAAATTCTCTATAAACTGGTTTTTTAAAAGTCACAGTTGAATTGTTCGTAAGGCTAGAAAATGGGATTTTCACTCTCACTCCACTCTCACTCTCTCACTTACATTCTCTATAACTTGACTATCGTTTCAACTAGGAAGAAGTGGTTTATATCATTAAATTCCTCTTTAAATTCTCTACAAACTGGCTTTCTAAAAGTCACCGCTGAGTTGTTCGTAAGGCTAGAAAATGGGATTTTCACTCTCACTCCACTCTCACTCTCTCGCTTACATTCTCTATAACTTGACTATCGTTTCAACTAGGAAGAAGTGGTTTATATCATTAAATTCCTCTTTAAATTCTCTACAAACTGGCTTTCTAAAAGTCACCGCTGAGTTGTTCGTAAAGCTAGAAAATGGGATTTTCACTCTCACTACACTCTCACTTACACTCTCTATAACTTGGCTATCGTTTCAACTAGGAAGAAGTGGTTTGCATCATTAAATTCCTCTTTAAATTCTCTACAAACTGGTTTTTTAAAGTCACAGTTGAATTGTTCGTAAGGCTAGAAAATGGGATTTTCACTCTCACTCCACTCTAACTCTCTCACTTACACTCTCTATAACTTGGCTATCGTTTCAACTAGGAAGAAGTGGTTTGCATCATTAAATTCCTCTTTAAATTCTCTACAAACTGGTTTTTTAAAGTCACAGTTGAATTGTTCGTAAGGCTAGAAAATGGGATTTTCACTCTCACTCCACTCTCACTCTCTCACTTACACTCTCTATAACTTGACTATCGTTTCAACTAGGAAGAAGTGGTTTATATCATTAAATTCCTCTTTAAATTCTCTACAAACTGGATTTCCTAAAAGTCACCGCTTAGTTGTTCGTAAAGCTAGAAAATGGGATTTTCACTCTCACTACACTCTCACTTACACTCTCTATAACTTGGCTATCGTTTCAACTAAGAAGAAGTGGTTTGTATCATTAAATTCCTCTTTAAATTCTCTATAAACTGGCTTTCTAAAAGTCACCGCTGAGTTGTTCGTAAAGCTAGAAAATGGGATTTTTACTCTCACTACACTCTCACTCTCTCACTTACACTCTCTATAACTTGGCTATCGTTTCAACTAAGAAGAAGTGGTTTGCATCATTAAATTCTTCTTCAAATTCTCTACAAACTGGTTTTTTAAAAGTCACTGCTGAGTTGTTTATAAGGCTAAAAAATGGGATTTTCACTCTCACTCCACTCTCACACTTACACTCTCTATAACTTGACTATCGTTTCAACTAGGAAGAAGTGGTTTGCATCATTAAATTTATCTTTAAATTCTCTATAAACTGGTTTTTTAAAAGTCACTGCTGAGTTGTTTGTAAGACTAGAAAATAAGATTTTTACTCACTCCACTCTCACATTTACACTCTCTATAACTTGACTGTCGTTTCCACTAGAAAAAAGTGGTTTGCATCATTAAATTCCTCTTTAAATTCTCTACAAACTGGTTTTTTAAAAGTCACTGCTGTGGTTGTTTATAAGGCTAAAAAATGGGATTTTCACTCTCACTCCACTCTCACACTTACACTCTCTATAACTTGACTATCGTTTCAACTAGGAAGAAGTGGTTTGCATCATTAAATTTCTCTTTAAATTCTCTACAAACTGGTTTTTTAAAAGTCACAGTTGAGTTGTTCATAAGGCTAGAAAATGGAATTTTCACTCTCACTCCACTCTCACACTTACACTCTCTATAACTTGACTATCGTTTCAACTAGAAAGAAGTAGTTTGCATCATTAAATTCCTTTTTAAATTCTCTACAAACTGGTTTTTTAAAAGTCATCGCTGAGTTGTTCGTAAGGCTAGAAAATGGGATTTTTACTCTCACTCCACTCTCACTTACATTCTCTATAACTTGACTATAATTTCAACTAGGAAGAAGTGGTTTACATCATTAGATTCCTCTTTTAAAGCTCTACAAATTGGTTTTTTAAAAATTTACCGCTGAGTTGTCCATAAGGCTAGAAAATAGGATTTTCATATCAAATTTCACTTTCATTGAGAAATGAAAAATGTTTACAAACTACTAGATATTGAAAAACTGGTTGAATAATAATGGGATGTCAATACACAAAATTAAATTGACACCACGATGACAAACAACAGTGGCGCCAAAAAACTACTGCCGTTAACCAAGTATGTATATTTCTTACTATTTTTTTTTTTCCATAAATAGAGGAAAATAAACTTTCAACGTTTAAATATATATCTTTTTTTAACATACAATATTTTTTATTATTCTTAAAATGCACTTCACAAATTTATCTAATTGGGATCTTATTTGTTTCTAATTTTTAATGAAAACATTTTTTATATTTTTAATTTTTAATAATTATGAAGTTTATAGAGAAACCCTGCCTCTGTCTGTTTTAATATAATTTTAAAGCAATAACTTTCTCCAAGTGGATTATTTGCAAACAAAAATAACAATTATAACAAATATTTATATCATTATAGTACTGAGTTAACACAGTAAGGTAACCAACTGGCGAATTGACGCTGTTCGTTATCTGCGTTGGTCATTCTACTATACTAATCGAAATAATTTACTAAAAGGATACAGTCCTGTTTATATCTATATAAATCAACAGTAAATTAATAACGTTCAGCTGGATTCAAACTGTAAAATATTTTTGACGATTATTTTACTAGAAATAGTCACTGATATTTTATCTAGGGAGATAGTTATTGGATAATCCAGTTATTTGTATATTCTAATAATATTCTTATTTTTTTTTATGAATATATACATCATACGTGTGTATATTCTAAGAATATCGTGTGCTATTTAAATTCTAAACTTGTTTTCCTAAGGGAAAAACGAATCCCTGGATTCCTTTCCAGTGTGTGCCCCACTGCCGCTAGTGCCCACGAGCCGCCACTGGTGTTATCATCACATCAATATGGTTTTAGGGAGGGAAAATATTGAATTGATGTAACTAGTAATAATAGTTTTGTTATATATTTGTCATTTTGTCATATATATTTATTATGCTTATTGTATTGTATTATGTATTATATTAATATTTTGAATAAACTTTTATTATTATTATTATTATTATTATTATTATTATTATTATTATTATTATTATTATCTTATTAGTAATCGCTTTCCTGTAACGTCACTGGCTCTTCTATACTGTACCACTACGAGAATCTTACATAATCAATATAAAACGCAATGCCTGCTCTCGACGTCGGGCGTCGGCGTCGTCGAATTTTCCACAGGGCGTCGACTTGCAGCGCCGGTAAAACAATAACCGGCTGGTTGGTGTTTGATTTTTTAAAAAACCATCGTAAACCAAAATCCCAACAAACATTTTCTTCCGTTGAAGCTTCCTAAAGTGACAGTGATTATAATTTGTTAGGAAGAAACCATTATGAGTGTCAAGGTAAGATTAATAATAATTGGATTTGCAAATAATGTTGTTACGTCAAGAAAATATCATCTGTATAATAATATTGTATTGTCGTTAACAATTTCAATTCATTAGTAGGCTAGGGACGGGTGTTGAGTGTGTTTTACAAATTGATAGACTAGATTTTATGGTTCACAGCCATCTGGGTGACGATGATTATAATTAATCAGTGTTGATATGTCGTGAGAGTTATTTTTAATAATAATTTTGATAGAATAATTAAGTGCGTTGACGCAAAATGATTTGATGAGTTTATTGTGATATATTTAACAAATGGATCCAGCAGTGGGAACTAATAATAACCGTCGTCCATCGCAGGTAATATAATTAGATTAGTAACTGCATACTTTTGTTTTTAATATTAGCAAGTCGTTCAGAGATCTGTCTACAATCTACAGAGTAGCCCATAAGTGTGAGATTAAGCTCAATATCTTTCTTACCATTAAAATAGAACAATTATAGTGTTTATTTTGTTAAATGTGTCTATACAAGTATTTTAATGCCTTTTAGCTTTTCTATGAACCTTTTCCAAGCTTGTTTAGGTTGGTTTTTTAAGCCTTTTTATGCTTTTGAAGCTTCTTGATGTTTCTTTTACATTTTTAGGATTGTTTAAGCTCTTCAAGCCTTTTAAAGCTTTTTTTAAATCCTTTTAAAGCTTTTTTATTATCTTTTAAAGCTTTTTGAAACTTTTTGATGTTTTTTAGAGCTTTTTAGGCATTTCCAAATCTTTTTAAGCTTTTAAGGCTGTTTGAAGCTTTTTTAGGCATTTGTTAAGCTTTTAAATATTTTATAAGCCTTTTAAAGCTTCTTTAATCTCTTATTAAGGGTCTTTAAACATTTTAAAAGCTTTTTTTATGCTTTTTTAAGCTTTTTAAGTATTTTAATGCCTTTTAGCTTTTCTATAAACCTTTTCTGTTTGTTTAAGTTGGTTTTTTACTTTCCTATCTGTATACAGATATAAGGAAAGTATAGGAATCATGATTTTTTTCGACCTCGAGTTTTCGACGGATTTTTACGTTTTGAGGTCCCCTGAATCCGTTTTGACTATTTTCGCGATGATGTCTGTCTGTGTGTGTGTGTGTGTGTGTGTGTGTGTGTGTGTGTGTGTGTGTGTGTGTGTGTGTGTGTGTGTGTGTGTGTGTGTGTGTGTGTGTGTGTGTGTGTCTGTGTGTGTGTGTCTGTATAACGCATAACTCATGAACCGATACACAGAAAAACACCAAATTTTAAACTTAAGCTTTGCTTCAGCGTCCAATGAGCTGATTAGATTTTGGGCAGAGTCGGAACATCTGGGGGGGTACTTTATAGGTGGTCATTTTTATATTTTATGGAATATATCTGTTATTTACGTTTGAAGAAGAAAATTCTTCAAATAAAAGTTACTTCTAATATAATTATCTATAATTTTTGTTTTATGCAAAATTTTCCTAAAATGGTCCGTCTTCGAGAAATTTGACAAAATGTAAAAAAAATAATTTTTTATAAAAATTGTTCAAATAAAAGTTGTTTGTAATATAATTCTCTTTAATTTTTATTCTATACATAATTTCTCTAAAATGGACCGTATTCGAGATATTTGAGAAAATGTGTAAATTTCGAATTTTGAAGAAAACTCAAAAATGGATAAAGAAAAAAACATTAAATTTTAAACTTAAGGTTTATTTCGGCCTGACGTGAAATGATTAGATTTTGGACACAGTCGGAACATCTGGGGGGGTACTTTATGGGAGGCCACTTTTATATTTTATGGAATATATCTGTTATTAATGTTTGGAGAAAAAAATTGTTCAAATAAAAGTTACTTCTAATATTATTATCTATAATTTTTGTTTTATGTAAAAATTTCCTGAAATGGTCCGTATTCGAGAAATTTGACAAAATGTGCAAAATTCTGATTTTTATGAAAGTTTTTGAAATAAAAGTTGTTTGCGATATCTATCTCTATAAGTTTTGTTTATACATGATTTTTATAAAATGGACCGTAATGAAAAAATTGTAGGAAATTTAAATTTTTCAGTATTTTCGTTTTCCATGAATATCTATAGAAAAATGTTTCGAGGTAGATGTATGTGGACAATGTATATATTTAGTTTATCCTCTAAACATTTATAGAGATGCTGCAATAGGTTGTACAAAATAACCGGAAAAAGCCTATAATAACTAGATAGGAAAATCATGTGTTGGACACATCAGATTTTTAAGCTTTTTAAGCCATTTTACGCTTTTGAAGCTTTTTGATGTTTCTTTTAGATTTTTTTAGGATTGTTTAAGCTTTTCAAGCCTTTTGAAGCTTTTTTAAATCCTTTTAAAGCTTTTCTTATTCTTTTTAAGCTTTTTTAGGCCTTTTTAAGCTTTTTCAACCTTTTAAATCTTTTTAAAGCTGTTTTTAATATCTTTAAAACTTTTTAACAAAGCCTTAAAATAGCCTAATAAGCTCAAAAAGGTTTAGAAATGCTTAAACAAGCTCTAAAAAGTATCAGAAAGTTTGAAAAAACTTAAAAAATCATAAAAAAGCTTAAAGAAAAACGTCAAAAAGCTTCAGAAAGGCTTAAAAAGACTTAAAAAAGCTTTAAAAAGCTTTAAAAAATGCGTTAAAAAGACTTAGAAAGGCTTTAAAAATCCTAAAAATGCTTAAAGAAAAACATCAAAAAGCTTTAAAAAGGCTAAAATAACTTAAAAAGCTTAATAAAAGCTTTAAAGAGCTATAAAAAGCTTAAAAAATCGTTAAAATGATTTAAAAACCTTTATAATGGGCCTAAAAAGCTTTAAAAATCATAAGAAGCTTAAAGAAACCATAAAAAAGCTTCAAAAAGACTTAAAAATCCTAAAAAAAGCTCTAAAACAAAAAAAAAACATCAAAAAGCTTTAAAAAAAAAGCTCAAAAAGCTTTAAAAAGTATTAGAAAAGCGTTAAAGGGGTTTAAAAAACTTTAATAAGCTTAAAAAATCATAAAAATCTTAAAGAAAAACATCAAAAAGGCTCAAAAAGACTAAAAAGGCTTTAAATAGCCTAAAAAGCTTTTAAAAAACGTTAAAAATAGTTAGAAAAGCTTTAAACCATTATAAAAAGCTAAAAAAATCCTAAAAAGCTTAAAAAGCTTGAAGAAAAACATCAAAAAGCTTCAAAAAGGCTCAAAAAAGCTTAAAAAGATTATAAAAAATTTGAAGAAAGCTTATAGAAAGCTTAATAAAAGCTTTAAAGAGCTATAAAAAGCTTACAAGATATTAAAAGAGCGCTAAAAAAGCTTTAATAGGCTTAAAAAGCTTAAAAAACCATAAAAAGCTTAAAGAAAAACATCAAAAAAGCTTAAAAAGACTTTAAAATAGCTTAAAAAGCTTTAAAAAGATTAAGAAAAGCTTTAAAAGTATATAAAAAGCTAAAAAATCCCAAACAAAGCTTAAAGAAAAACATCAAAAGGCTTCAGAAAGCTCAAAAAAGCTTAACAAAGCTTTAAAAAAGTTTAAAAACGCTAAATAAGAAATTTAAAACTTAAAATATAATTAAAAGCTAAACAAAGGCATAAAAAAGCTTAAAAAATATTTATAAATGCTAAAAAAGCACTTCAAAGCATCAAAAAGTTTCAAAAAGCTTTAAAAGGTATTTAAAAACGCTTTAAATAGACTTAAAAAGCTTTAAAAGACCTAAAAAAAGCTTAAAGAAAAACATTAAAAGGCTTAAAAAAGTTTATAAAAGCTTTAAAAGCATTAAAAAGAAATAGAAAAGCTTTAAACGGCTTAAAAAGCTTTAAAAACCCAAAAAAGCTTAAAGAAAACGTCAAAAAGCTACAAAAAGGCTCAAAAAATATTCAAAAAGCTTAAAGAGCTTAAAAAAGCTTATAAAATGCTTAAACAGGTTAAAAAAAGCTTCAAAAACCAACCTAAACAAACTTAGAAAAGCTTTAAAAGGATTTTTAATCTTTTTAAGCTTTTTAGGCTATTTTAAAGCTTTTTTTTAGGCCTTTTTAAGCTTGGTTAACCATTTAAATATTTTTAAGCTTTTTAAAACTGTTTTTAATCTCTTTAAAACTTTTTCTAAGCTTATTTAGGTTCGTTTAACAATGGCGGTACAATATTTTTCAGTGGAACTATTAATATTTTGAAATTACGAAGTCATTCCATATGGTGGTTATTGATATATTACAGAAAGCAATAAATTATTTGAGTTACTTCATTTGTATAGTTTATAAAAGGATGTGACGTCGATTTTGCCAGCCATAGCGACTACTTTAAACCATTAAAATGTTATAAATTGTGACCCCAAACAGTAAACAGATGTCTCTTTATTTATATTCGAGTTTAGTATGTATGCCGTATTAATTAAATTAAGCAGAATATGTTTGTACTTAGATAAGATAGTAGAGATGGATCTATTTTTTTACGATAGACTTTCTGGTTTTTGTTTTCATATATTACGAAAATATCGCGAATAAGTAACAAAAATGTGGTTGTTTGGAAAAATGCGTACTAATGTGAGTTTAAAAATATTTCTGTAGTCTAGCTTGAAACCTTTTACAAATATTTTATGTTTGTGAATAGAATGAGCGTCTATATTTCTCTTTATTAAAACTGCTTGATTTTAAATTGGTATTCTACATATTTTGGAGCCTAATCTAAACATTTGTAGTCAAATAAACGTTTTTTTTTTTGTCAGGATCTAACAATATTAACATATTAACCGATATATAACCCAGTGTGGTCCAATGAAAAGTATCCACCCCTCTATTATTAGTTCCTGCAGATTTTTGAATAGGTAATTTTATAAAAAATTCAATAATGCCAATATTGTTGCGTCAAAAACCGATTTTAGCGCCGTCTTGAGGGTGAAAATTACGCATCTAGAAGCAGAAATGCTTGAACAAAAAATATGTGAGAAAATTAAAGACAAGAAAAGTTTTATTCAACTAATTGATTTAAAAAAAAGTGTTTGACAATAAATATAACTTTATATTTATAAGAAATATACAATATTAAAAAAGTTGCAAATAGAATACAGTTGAGAAGTAATAAATATCATATACCTTTTACGTTTTTTTAAGCTTTTAAAGCTTTTCTGACCTTTTTTAAGGTTCTTAAGTATTTTAATGCTTTTTTAGCGGTTTTAAACTTTTTGTAAGCTTGTTTAGGTTGGTTTTTGAAGCCTTTTAAAGTCTTTGTGAAGCTTTTTGATGTTTTTCTTTAAGATTTTTTAGGATTTTTTGAGCTTTTTAACTTTTTAAAGCATTTTTTAAGCTTTTTTAATATTTTTTGAGCCTTTTTGTACCTTTTTGATGTTTTCTTTAAGCTTTTTCGGTTTTTTTTAGGCTTTTTAAAGCTTCTCTATTTCTTTTTAACGCTTTTTAAAGCTTTTTTTAAACTTTGTTTAATCCTTTTTATGAGCTTTTTTAATGATTTTTAAATCTTTTTTATGCTTTTAAAGCTTATTTAAGCATTTTGAGCTTCCTGATGTCTTTACATGTTTTTCTTTAAGCTTTTTTTTAGGCCTTTTAAAGCTTTTTAAATCTATTTAAAGCTTTTTGAAGTGCTTTTTTAGCATTTATAAATCTTTTTAAGCTTTTTAGACTATTTTAAAGCTTTTTTATGCCTTTGTTTAGCTTTTAAATATTTTTTAAGCCTTTTAAATTTCTTATTAAGCGTTTTTAAAGCTTTTCTAAGCTTTTTTGAGCTTTCTGAAGCCTTTTGATGTTTTCTTTAAGCTTTGTTTAGGATTTTTTTAGCTTTTTATAATCTTTTAATGCTTTTCTAAATCTTTTTAAAGCTTTTTAAGCTATTTAAAGCTTTTTAAAGTTTTTTAAGCCTTTTTGAAGCTTTTTGATGTTTTTTTTTTAAGCCCATTAAACCCTTTTAACGCTTTTTTTAATACCTTAAAAGCCTTTTTAAGCTTTTTTTGAGCCTTTTTAAAGCTTTTTTGAGCCTTTTTAAAAGCTTTTTGATGTTTTTCTTTAAGCTTTTTTAGGATTTTTAACTTTTTTTAAGCTTTTCTAAATCTTTTTAAAAAAAATTTAAGCTATTTTAAAGTCTTTTTAAGCATATTTGAAGCTTTTTGATGTTTTTCTTTAAGCTTTTTATAATTTTTTAAGCTTTTTAAGCCTATTAAAGCTTTTTTAAATCCTTTTAACGCTCTTTTAATATATTTTAAGTTTTTTATAGCTCATTAAAGCTTTTATTAAACTTTTTAAGTTTTTTTGAGCCTTTTTGATGATTTTCTTTAAGCATTTTTAGGAATTTTAAGCCTTTTAAAACATTTTCTAAATCTTTTTAATGCTTTTAAAAAGATTTTTAGGCTATTTAAAGCTTTTTTAAAGTCTTTTTAAGCCTTTTTGAAGCTTTTTTTTATGTTTTTCTTTAAGCTTATTTATGATTTTTTTAGCTTTTTAGGACCATTAAAGCCCATTAAACCCTTTTATCTCTTTTTTAATACCTTTAAAGCTTTTTTGAGTAATTTTAAAGCTTTTTGATGTTTTTCTTTGTTTTTTTTAGGATTTTTAAGCTTCTCTAAATCTTTTTTAAGCTTTTTTAAAGTCTTTCTAAGCCTTTTTGAAGCTTTTTGTAGTTTTTCTTTGAGCTTTTTATGATTTTTTTAACTTTTTAAGTCTATTAGAGCTTTTTTAAATCCTTTTAACGCTTTTTTAATACCTTTTAAGCTTTTTATAGCTCTTTAAAGCTTTTATTAAGCTTTTTAAGTTTTTTTGAGCCTTTTTAAAGCTTTTTGATATTTTCCTTTAAGCATTTTTAGGATTTTTTAAGCTATTTAAAGACTTTTTAAGTCTTTTTAAGCCTTTTTGATATCTTCTTTAAGTTTTTTAAAGCTTTTTGAGCTTTTTAAAGTTTTTTTAAGCCTTTTTGATGTTTTTCTTTAAGCTTCTTTTAAATATTTTTATGATTTTTTAAGTTTTTAAAACTTTTTGATATTTTTTAGAGCTTTTTTTAAGCATTTCTAAATCTTTTTATGCTTTTCAGGCCATTTTAAAGCTTTGTTAAGCTTTTAAATGCGTCGATTTTGGAGTAGGATACATTTTTTTCCTAATTTCAGCATCGACGCTTCGACCCTTGAGTATGGAGTGAATGACCCCTAAAGTACCAAGAGTGGCACATTTTTGAAAAGGCAATTTTATGGGAAATTACATTTCAATTTTGATAGTTTTTTAAGTTTACCTACTCTCTAAAAAAGTAATAAACTGTAAAATTGATTTTTTAAAGATTTATTAAGATTTTTTAAGCTTTTTTATTTACCCTTTTTTATAATTTTTTATGCTTTTTTAGATTAGTTTTTTAGACTTATTTGAGCTTTTTTAAGCTTTTTAAAACTTTTTTAAAGCTTTTTGATGTTTTTTTAAAACTTTCTAAATTTATTATTCTTTTTAAGCTTTGTTAAGCTTTTCAAGCTTTTTTAAGCTTTGTTATGCTTCTTTAAAGTTTTTAAGTTTTTTTTAAGCTTTTTTTAGTTTTTATTTTAATAAAAAACGCAAACGATAAATCAGAAATTTCGTTTTGATATAGTAGATCTAGGAGTAGAAAAGGAGAGGGTGTATACCTTTTATTGGACCACAGTGTATATATAAAAATCTCAAATAGATTTTACTTGTTTTTTTATTAAAAATTAATATTTTTTGCTAAATATTCTCCATTTCATAAAATTAATGCTATTTAATACATTAATTATATATACAGACGAAGGGTGGCATTGTCTTTACAGATTTGTATATTTTATGAAGACAATGGAGGTTATACCAACGTCAATATGCGTTAATTGATTGCTTCCATTCTCTGGAAAATTTATATACACTTTGCTATGTAAACAGTTTTCCTCTCTATATTGATTCGCACATGTTTGTTTTCCTTATTTAATTATTTTTGATAAACATCAGATGCCATCAGCAATATATTAGGAATTTATACTCTGTGCTCACACTCTAGATGCTCTTTTGGCTCTAAATTCAACAACTGGAATACCTATTTAATTAAAATACAAGTGCTTTAAATCAATACAATATTAACAACAGGTATTTTTTCTTTTTATTGTAAATTTATTGATGTTTTAAATAAAATAATTTGTGAAATCTACCATCTGTAGTTTAGATTTTCATCAAAAATCAATATTTATATTTTGTAGATGACGCGGTACACCAATGCTGACTTTGCTGATGACGATAGTGTTAACAGTGTTCAACTAAATGAAGGAATAAGCAGCAGTACCACCCACATTCGATACCACGCTGGAAGTACAATATGGAAACTAAGATCTCCTCTAGAGAAAGTGCTATTAATATTAGTTGGAATTTTACTTTTTGTTATATTTATTTTAGCCATAATTTTACATGTTACTGAACATCGATTAGAAGAAAATAAGGTAATATTTGTATTGTTTTCGCTGTAAATTGACTATAACAGTTATCAGAACTGTGGGGCAAGTTAAAATTTTCTACTACCCAGAATTTAACTCCTTTCTCTTTATTGGTTGCTCTAAGGTATACAACTTTACAGTTAACATTGTTTTTTTAGATGATTATATTTCCTAACGATTCTTCCGGTCCTTGCCTAAATAAATCTTGTATTCAAATAGCTAACAACATTTTAGAAGCTTTAGATAACTCTGTAGATCCTTGCGACGATTTTTACTCGTACGCATGCAAGGGTTGGATCAAAGCTAATCCAATACCAGATGCCAAAAGTACATGGGGTACTTTCATGAAGTTAGAACAACAAAATCAACTAGTTGTTAAGAGAGTTTTAGGTAAGTTTAGAGCTGGATTTTAGTCGCTGGAGTCTCTACAATATAAATATTTTTTTTAGAACAACCAATAGACACACTCAAATCTAAAGCGGAACAGAAGGCAAAAATGTACTATGAATCATGTCTTGATGTTAACGAAACAGTTGAAGCTTTAGGAGCTCAACCTATGCTGGATTTGATAAGAAAACTTGGAGGCTGGAATATTACCAATAGTGGATTTGATGTTACTAAATGGAAATTACAAAATATTACCCAGCTTATACAGAATAAATATAATATAGGTAAAGCGAACATTTTTCAGATTATACAGTAGATAAAACAGTAAATTGCTAGTATTCTTGATACACACCATCAAAATGAAAAACTTAATCATCCTTCCAGAAAGATGTTTTGAAATATTTATCTTGTAAAAAGAAGAATTTATTTTTAGGTGGACTTTTCTCTTATGCTGTAGGAGAAGATGATAAAAACTCCACAAGACATGTTTTGCAAATTGATCAGAGTGGATTAACTCTACCAACCAGAGAAAATTATTTAAATAAAACTAAAGAACATAAGAAAGTTTTGGATGCTTATTTGGAGTATATGACTAAGGTAAAATACTTATTAGTTTCTTTAAATAAATTTGAATGTTTTGGTTTTAATAATTTGAAAGAAGAAATATATATATATATATATATATATATATATATATATATATATATATATATATATATATATATATAAGATAAAAGAATTATTGGGCAGATAGACACGTGTTTCTGACTATTGGTCTTCATCAGTACGGTGCAGCCAAGTTCATAAGAAAATGGAACTAGCGATGAAATCAAAACAACAGGAGATTACTCAAGAATCCAACCACACATTTGTGGACTCGGGAATGTTAATCATCTTAATCCCCTATTTTTTACCAGATTTTTTCAAAATCAGTAGGTATCCAAAATCGGAGGTGATAACGATATATATATATGAGGTGATAACGTTTCTTTAGTATATATTTTGGAGGTAAAACTGTACCTAAATAATTTCCTTAAATAAATTTGTTTTTATCAGGTAGGCGTTCTACTTGGAGGAGAACCGAACACAACAAGAAAACAAATGCAAGATATAGTCGATTTCGAAACCAAATTAGCTAATATAACTATACCAAGCGACATGCGTAGGGACGAAGAAAAGTTATACAATCTAATGAAACTCGGAGATTTACAAATTCGAGCACCATTTGTAAGTTCTTCATGCGTTCATTCTCAGTTAAACCATTCTTATGATATTTCTTTACAGATAGACTGGAGAAAGTTTTTTGAAGATGCAATGAGAATTGTTAACAGGAAAGTAACTAACAAAGAAGAAGTTGTGGTATACGCACCTGAATATCTAGGAAATTTGACTACTCTTATTAAAGAATACAACAAAACAACTGAAGGAAAAATGTAAGTTTTAAGTTAGAACAATTTGAATATTTATAATTCTTGGTGCAGATCCAGTATCTAATAACATTTTGTGCAAGTTGTGAAAGTTCTAGTGGAAGTGCAGAATCTTCTGACTGAACCACCTCTTGACTCGTATGAGTTACTATTTAAAGAAAAGGGATGTGAAAAATATTGCATCTACATTTTTATATAAAATTACTTTATCATCATTGACAGACAGTTTGTATTCTTTCAGCATATTAAATAATTACATGGTTTGGCAAACAGTAAGAGTATTTACTGTGTGTCTTTCGAAAGCATTCAGAGATGCTTACAAGGGATTAAGAACTGCCCTTATGGGTTCTGAAGGAGGAGAAGAACCACAGTGGAGGTATTGCATTCAAGATACCAACTCAGTTCTAGGTGTGTTAAAAATAATCTTTCTTTGTGGTATAATATACAAAGGGACTAATATTTTTCTTTCTGAAATAGGTTTTGCTATTGGTGCTATTTTCGTAAGAGAAGTCTTCGACCAAAACTCCAAAACTCAAGCAGAAGAAATCATCAATAACGTCAGAAATGCTTTTAAAAATAATTTTAAGAATTTGAAATGGATGGATGAGGATACCAGAAAAGTAGCTTTAGATAAAGCTGATGCGATCTCGGATATGATAGGTTAGTGAATACAATTACACATCCGTGCAATTTTTCTAACAAATTTGTGGTATTTTTTTTAGGCTATCCGGATTTCGTTAAGGATATGAATCAATTAGATGAAAGATTTCAAAATTTAACTATCAGAATTGATGCTTATTTTGATAACAATATACAAATTAGTTTTTTTAATTTAAGAAAGAATTTAGAGAAGATAAATGAAGCTGTCAACAAAACTACATGGAGTAAGGTTTTTGCAATCTAATTATACAGAGCCTCTTTAAATATTTACCTACATGTAAATTCATATCAAGGTCCTTTTGATCAGCTATTGCAGTATTTTGTGTGAATTTTTATTTATTTTTATGTTTTTTATGCATTCTTATATATTTTTATGTATTTTGATATATTTTGATACATTTTTATATATTTTTATATATTTTTATATTTTTTTATATATTTTTATATATTTTTATATATTTTTATATATTTTTATATATTTTTGTATATTTTTATATATTTAATTTTATATAATTTTATATATTTTTATTTTTGTTTCAATACTTTATTAATTTTTTTTTAGGTATGCCTCCTTCCACAGTCAATGCTTATTATACCCCCACAAAAAACCAAATGGTTTTTCCAGCAGGAATTCTCCAAAGTCCATTTTATGATGCTTCCTTCCCATCGAGTTTGAATTATGGTGGAATGGGGGTGGTGATGGGACATGAACTGACGCACGGTTTTGATGATCAGGGAAGGCAGTTTGATAAATATGGAAATCTTAAACATTGGTGGAAGAATGAAACTATTGATAAGTTTAAACAGAGGACGAAATGCGTCGTAGATCAATATAGTATGTATCTGGTAAAAAATTTAAATAATACTTTAATACCACCTTAATATGTTGGTGTAATCCCATTCGATTTATTATTTTGTATTTATAAAATAAGTCAAAATAAATTATAAAATAATCACAAAATAAATCATAAAATAAATCACAAAATAAATCACAATATAATTCACAATATAAATCACAAAATAATTCACAAAATAAATTACAAAATAAAACACAAAATAAATCACAAAATAATAAAAAATCATAAGAAATGAATAAAATTAATGAATAAAAATGATTTAATAAAAATTATTTAATAAAAATAACTAAAAACAAATAAATAAATGAAAATAAATGAAAATAAATGAAAATAAATGAAAATAAATGAAAATAAATGAAAATAAATGAAAATAAATGAAAATAAATGAAAATAAATGAAAATAAATGAAAATAAATGAAAATAAATAAAAATAAATGAAAATAAATGAAAATAAATGAAAATAAATTAATGAAAATAAATAAATGAAAATAAATGAAAATAAATGAAAATAAATGAAAATAAATGAAAATAAATTAAAATAAATTAAAATAAATGAAAATAAATGAAAATAAATGAAAATAAATGAAAATAAATGAAAATAAATGAAAATAAATGAAAATAAATGAAAATAAATGAAAATAAATGAAAATAAATGAAAATAAATGAAAATAAATGAAAATAAATGAAAATAAATGAAAATAAATGAAAATAAATGAAAATAAATGAAAATAAATGAAAATAAATGAAAATAAATTAAAATAAATTAAAATAAATTAAAATAAATTAAAATAAATTAAAATAAATTAAAATAAATTAAAATAAATTAAAATAAATTAAAATAAATGAAAATAAAAGAAAATATAAGAAAATAAATGAAAATAAATGAAAATAAATGAAAATAAATGAGAATAAATGAAAATAATTCAAAATAATTCAAAATAAATCAAAATAAATTACAAAATCAATCAAAATAATAAAAATGAATAAAAATAAATAAAAAAATTATTATTTTCAGATAACTATAAAATAAATGGTAAAAATATAGATGGTAATCAGACTCTGGGCGAAAATATTGCCGACAATGGAGGCTTAAAAGCCGCTTACCACGCTTATCTACAATTAATGGGAGACAAGCCTGAACCAGAAAGTCTTCCTGGAATTCCTTTAAATCACAAACAACTGTTCTTCGTTGCATTTGCCCAGGTTAATATTAATTTAATAAATATATTTTTTTATGATTTACCCTATATATATAAAAATTCACGCATGTCGGAGCATACAAATATTTTAATTTTGAAATATCAGTTTGGATTTAATTCATTGATAAAATATAATATTCACGATACTGAGATTAATTCGACAATCGATACACTGTATTTGTAGGAACGGGGTGAGGAGTTACATCTCGTTATCTGTGGTTATCACCTTAGTGAAAAATCAAAAGCAGCAGTCCCTAGAAGAAATACCCATTATGTTGATATTAATTAAATATTTTTTATAGGTTTGGTGTTCTGCAGTAACCAAAGAAGCTACGACATTGCAAATAGAGAAAGATTCTCATTCTCCGGCTCAATATCGGGTGATAGGCGCTTTGAGCAATCTCAAAGAATTCAGCGAAGAGTTTCGTTGCAAACCCGGTTCACGAATGAATCCAAAAAATAAATGCGAAGTCTGGTAAAATAGAGGAAAATTAAAAGAATATATAATATTCTTTTTTGTATTTATATAAAAAGGTGGGACTTTGAGGTCTAGAAAACCGGAATGTTGGAGAGTATAGAGGCTTACTTTTAACAAAGTGGTCCAAAATTATATACCGCGAATGCTAGAGATTACGTCCGAAATGAATTTCATTACATCCCCCCCTTTTTCAAAACTCAATATTAAAAGGATATTGGTGCGTAAAGAAATGAATTTATTGAATTTATAGATGGTATACAATTATACTAATCTTTAACATTACGAAACAAGATTACACAAAATATTATACGTCTTTATTTTATTAATAACTTTCCCCAAATTGCATATTCTAATTTTGGCCACTAATCGTCACAATTTTTCATATTTCTCGTACAGTGCAGGATACGCATCATAGGCAGACATGAAATTATGCTTTTATCAAGTAAAAATTATGTATGTATCCAATAATGGTAGTAATATACTATTAGGTGTAGAAAATATGGTATATAATTTTGGACAATCAAATTTATTTCCATATCTATCTGATCCATTTTAAAAATAAATTAATAATATCAAAAATGTTTTATATATACATATTTAAAAAAAAACTAAAATTATCTTTATGAAATTGAGTCCTGTTGCTCAATATATTGTATAGTAAAAAATGATTAGTCAAAAATCTGTTGAAAAGGTTTTTGTCGTTCAAAATACAAGATACCAGTTTGGTAAGTATTATAATATTAATTTTTTTTTGTTTGTTATTACCCCTTCCATTCGATGTTTTTTTTTTCAGTTCGGTCTAACGATGTAGTTGAAAACTACATTTTCTCCATAAATAATTATTTTATTTTAATGATTTAATTTTAGAAAACATGTAAATGTGTGTAAGCTGTGTATATTTTTTACTGTGATACAATAAATGTAAATATTTAGAATATGAAATTGGTCTTTCTTTGGTCGTAGAAAAAATATGTAAATAAATTCTTGACTACCGGAATTTTTCTGTTTCGTATGAAAATACTTAGGAATTTTACGGTATTTACGAATAAGTATCACTAAATACAAGCATAATAATCTTAGCATATTCAGATGACAATGACAGAACCTCCCACAGCGCCAAACGTACTGAATAGCAACTTACTCGAAGTGGATATATATGCGATTTAGTCCGACGGAAGACTAATCGGTAAATCCAATCGGCAACCCCTTGATTTTCTGGTCGGACGGAAAACTAAACGGTGACGTCAGAGATCGACATGAATTCACATGATTTTGATTTACACATGCGCAATCAGTCAAGAAATGAATTGCAGGATCGAATTTACATATTTTTGAACGTGTATTTACTCGTGGCTTGATTTATCTTCTTATTCCATTTGTTTTTTTTTTTATTTTTTCGTTTTTTATGGTTTTTGTTTCTTGTTTTTTTGTTATAATTAAAATATATTTGTCTAAGTTAGAATATCAGAATGATTGAAGATTATCATGAATTAATTTATCATTTAAAACCTTGATCATTTTTTGAGATTAAAATATTTTGAAATAAAAAATTTAAGTGGATTTCATTCAAAATTTGAATAGCTGTAGATAATACAAATGTATATATATTTGATTTGCTATTATCATTGTAGTATTTTGAAGCTAATAATCAAAATGAAAGTCGCAATTTTATTACTTGTATTTACTGTAAATATTTTTACAAAAGTGGTAAGTATAATTTTTCTATATTTATTTTTACTATGTATATGTATGTTTGACTTATCCAGTTTCTGTGTTTTCATCAATATTGATATAAAAATTTTCATATTAAATAAAATAAACTTTAATTGTAGAATTGTATACCACCAAAATATGCTTATATATCAAATTCTGTTGTTAATGCTAACTCAAAATTCGGAATTACTAATGGAGTAGAAGCTCAGCCTCATTCGATCCCATACCAAGTGTTTGTTCTTTACCTTGGTAAAGACCACCTAAAGGCGTGGACTTGTGGTGGTTCTTTAATAACGCGCAGTTATGTTCTAACTTCTGCTCGTTGTCTTGTGGGGTAAGTAGATTTGGAATAAGATTTTTAGAGAATACCTACCTACCTACACCACGTGACGACATGGTGGCCGACACTAAACCTGATCTTTGCTGAGAGTGGACTTTAGGGTCAGTCAAAACATACACACTTAACATATGTATCTGATTACAAACTTGCCTATAAATGAATATAATAAAAAATTTGATTAGGGGTTTCGATTGCTTTAAATTTTATGAGAAAATATTTGCTTATAGATTTATCGTTTAAATAAATTGGAATTTGGGGGTTTACTATACTTATTTATCTGAATTTAATCACTTAGATTGTACATCTGTTTATCTTTTTTCGGTTATAAGCAGGTATGGTGTGATTTTTTAATAGATACTTATTCAGATTGTTTAAATATGTGGGAGATACGATCTGTTAAGTGCTTACCATAATCATCATCAGTATCTGATGATTATTGAATAAGTTTTTTCTATTGCAATGATTTAAGAAATATATATACTTTATTACTGACTAAACTAATTTACCACCACCTTTACTTTTTTTAATAGAGTTGGTATCTACCAAGCCAAAATCATTTTGAGATTAATGTTAGCCAAGGCGAGATCATTTTTCATTTTTTGTACCTGCTATACCATTCTTGGATTTCGACTTATTTAAAGGTTTTTAATTTAAATTCAAACGTAAATTTTCTCTCCTCTCTGAGGTGACACTATTATAGATTGTTGACAAATATACTCGCAAAATTGTAATATTTGACGAGGATCTCGGGTAGTCCCAATTTTAATCCGGATCTCACCTTGGTTTAAAAATATATATACATGTTTATATTTTTATTATAGCGCACTTCAAGCAAAAGTATACATTGGAATACATGATATGTCGGAATTAGAAAATGGCTCAGTTGAAATTGACAGTCGACATTTAATTATCCATGAACAATATGACGCCAGAACCTTCGATAATGATATTGGTTTAATTAACTTAGGTGGTGAAGTTTTCCCATCAGAAACAATCAATTATGCCAAACTGCCTTCTCGATCAGATCCCTCTATCGATTTAGTCGGTAAGCTTGCAAAATTATATATATAAATGTCAAATCGCAAATGGCCGCCGTCAGAATTGGTGATCAGTGATCCTTTGACAATAATACTGTCAAATCTGACCTCGCTGATATGAAAAACACCACACAGCATTCGATTCTACGTTAAAAGATCTACAATTTGAATTTTCGTTCGTCGCAAAAGCATTGCGCCAATTCTGACGGCGGCCATTTGCGATTTGACATGGAATGACTCATATATATATATATATATATATATATATATATATATATATATATATATATATATATATATATACTTATTTTTTGTTTTAAGGACAATCCGGGAGAATTAGTGGTTGGGGATTGACAAATGGCGTAGATGAAACATCATACATGAGTGTCCTAATGGAAGCTAATGATACAGTCGTTCCGAATTCGCAATGTGATGCTGTACATGGTACAGTCAATGACCAAAAGCTTTGTTTGTCAAGCGCACAAGGTAGTGGAGGATGTCGTGGCGATGAAGGAGGTCCTTTGGTTATTGGAAATCTTCAAGAAGGAATATTATCATACAATAATAAATTATGTGACCCTAAATATCCTACAGTATTTGTAAAAGTTAGGTCGTACTTAGATTGGATTGAGGCTCATTCCAACATTTTGAGTAACTAAATTTATTGTAAATAATTGAAGTATGTAATCCAATAAAAGAATAAACAAATTTTTCCAATTTATTCCATGAAAGCTAACCCTAAACCGTTGAAACTGCCACAAAAGAATGTTGGGAGTATAATATATTACACAATTTTTACTAATATAAGTATTGAATTTTATACAAATAAAATTACCCGGAATTATTATTATTATCGCAAATTGACTAGGATTAAATTGTGAAATATATTAAATAATATTAAAAATACCTGTGCGATCCGTATAACTGAAAGGATCAGTGCTTGGATGAAAACATCACCTTTCAATTACACACTTTAGTTTATCTTTTACCTTTTTTACTTTGATGTTCTTCGGTATAAATTTTTTTCAATTTATTCCATGAAAACTAACCTTAAACCGTTGAAACTGTCACAAAAATACGTTGGGAGTAGTATACATCGAAACTCAATAAATTTTGTACAAATAAAATGTTGATGCAACTGTTCCTGGGGGATAATCGACTGGTTCGAGCTTTCTGTTCTGCTGTTCTATGGTGTCCATTTTCTCTGAATCACCGAAGCTTTCAAGCACGTTTAACAGTCTCTGGACCGAATTTTCATGATCATTTTGTTCCTGTTGGCTTTGTTGACTGTCCTGACTGTCTATAAATTCCTCTGATTACTCAGAATCAGCCGCGGACGACTTAGGAGTCGATTTTGCACCTACTTTAATGTTTGTTATGATTATTTCTGTTTGGGGGCCACTTGAAGGTGATTCCCCAAACTTTTTTGCCTGGGGGGCTTCTTGCACCTCGTTTTCAGGATTTATAATAGGGCAAAGAGCGTCAAAAATATTGGTAACCACATATGTTTGTCCAGTTCGTTTAATTTTTATCTTTTGTGGTCTTTAGTGAGTTTAACTTCAGGATTTTCTGGTATTGTGGCTGTGAGAACCGGCATCTGTTTTTAAGCCGTTTTGTATACTCTGTTTCGAATCCAGACGCTGTCGGGCTCCGACTTTCACGGTTAACTACCGATACTGCGTGCACTTAACCTGGGGTGTGAAAAAAATTTATGAATGACAGCTGTCACTGATAACAATACGTAAAACTCTCGTAGACTATGAGGCCAATTATATCTTAGACAAGTTCTATGTGTACAGAACCTACTTTATTTTAGAAAACTTTTATATACATTAAAGAAATATATTTTCATGTCAAATAATAAATAAAATATTTCACACTACCGAACCTCTCACAGCGCCAAAGATACTGAATGGCAACTTACTCGAATTAGATATTTATTCGATTTAGTCCGACGGAAGACTGATAGGTAATCCAACCGGCAACCCCTTGATTTTCTGGTCGGACGGAAAACTAAACCGTTACATCAGAGATCGAACATGTGAATACTCGCCAGCGATGAGTTCAGGGCCGTCAGCCAATCCGGTCTCCGGATTCAATTTTATCTTGTAAATGTTGAGCTTAAGTATGTAATTGTAAATATTTGTAAATAACTGAATAAAGGATTTTAAAATGAAAATGAGTTCAGGGCCGGTACAGTCTAGACTCGTAAAATACCAACAATAGCATCACAAACTACCAACACCCACACACACAAGGACTACCCTGTTTTTTCACATTTTTTTTCAAACAATATAAAGTTCAGACATAGACAACAAATTTTTCAACTATCGCTTTAGCAAAATAGCCATAACCAGGGGCGGCTCGTGACCAAAATTTTGGGAGTTCATAGTAGCAGAATATAGAACCCGGTACAGATATAGGTAAAAAACTATCAGTGCTTTAGAAAGGTATATTATGGACTTATCAGGACTAAATTTATACATGGGCAATCAGTCAAGAAATTAATTATACGATCAAATTTAAATATTTTTAATCGTGTTTTTGCTTGGGACCCAATTTACCCCCTTATTTCTTTTGATTTTGATTTTTTTTTTCGGTTTTTTTATAGTTTTTGTTTTTTGTACATTTTTGTTTCTTTTTCTTTGTTATAATTGAAATATATTTGTCTACGTTATAAAATTTCAATGATTGAAGATTACAAAATCTTTATCATGCGTAATATTTATCATTTGGAACCTTGGATCAGTTTTTAAGATTAAAATATCGTGAAATAAAAAAGCTAAGTGAATTTCATTCAAAATTTGAATATCTTTAGATAATACGAATATATATTTGATTTGCTGTTATCATTGCAGTATTTTCAAGCGAATAATCAAAATGAAAGTCACACTTTTGTTACTTATATTTGCTGTAAATATTTTTACAAAAGTGGTAAGTATAATTTTTCTATATTATTTGTATTTTCATCAATACTGATATAAAAATTTAAATTTTTTTCTTAATGTAGATTCGTCAGGAATAGTCTGATAGCAATAATTTTGTAAAAAATGTAAAAATTCCTTATCACTTCTTGTTTTGTTGACTTTATCTCCATTAACCTCTAACTCTGGAAAGTATTTATCCTATAAAAAAAATCTCAACTTTTCTTGTAGAGTTGTCTAGACATTTATCCACCAAAATATGCTTATATGTCAAATTCTGTTGTTAATGCTAACTCAAAATTAGGAATTACTAAAGGAGTAGAAGTTCAGCCTCATTCAATACCATACCAAGTGTATTTTGTTGCCTTTACTATTGATAATCATGCATGGAGTTGTGGTGGTTCTTTAATAACAGAAAGCTATGTTCTAACTGCAGCTCATTGTGTTGACGGGTAAGTAATAGTACTTTTAGACGGTCAGATCAGTTCTCCGTTCAGTCTCAGTCGAACTGTCAATCATATGTATGTGTAAACACAAAAAATTGTAACTGATACATATCTGTGGCTCGATGGGTATACCAAGTTATCGTATCAATTGTCGGTTAAAGGGATATAATTTCCAAACTGAACTGACAACTGTACTTAAACTGATCTGACCGTCTAAAAGTACCTTAAGACTTTTAGACAATACCTACCCATTTCACATTAAGTTTACTTTGCTTATTTATCTGAGTTTTATCACTCAGACTGTCTATCTTTTTCGATTATAAGCAGGTATGGTTTGATGTTTTAATAGGTACTTACACATATGAATATTCAGAGCATTTAAATATGTGTGAGATGTGACCTGTTAAGTACCTGACACTTATTGAATAATTTTTTTCTATTATAAAGATAATTTTAAATTAATTTACGATCACCCTTACTCTTTTTAATAGAGTTGGGATGAGACGAAGGAACCAAAATAGCTCTAAGATATAGATATATATATATATATATATATATATATATATATATATATATATATATATATATATATATATATATATATATATATATATTCCAGTCACGACTACCCCTCTTCTCTCTATATATAGTCCAAGTTTTATCCGGATCTCACCTTGATTTAAAAATATATATAAACGTTTATAATTATAGTGCAATTCGAGCAGAAGTACACATAGGATGTCACGATTTGTCGAAATTTGAAAAAGGTTCAGTTGAAATTAATAGCAGAGCTTTGATTGTCCATGAACAATACGACGACGCAGCTATTGACAATGATATTGGTTTAATTCAATTAGATGGTGAAGTATTCCCATCAGAAACAATCAATTATGCCAGACTACCTTCTCGATCAGCTCCCTCGATAGATTTAGTCGGTAAGCTTGAATTATTAATCAATTTAATTCGTGTCGATTCCACCAAAGATTAAAATGACAAACTATAATTGAAAATTAATTATGGTTTGTCATTTTGTATTTATTTTTAGGACAATCCGGTAGAACTAGCGGTTGGGGACTCACAGATGGCGTACAGGAATCAACCACGTACGTTCTAATGGAAGCTAATGATACTGTCATTCCAAATTTGCAATGTGATGCTGTATTTGGTACAGTCAGAGACCAAGAGCTTTGTTTGTCAGGTGTAGAAGGTAGTGGACCATGTCGTGGCGATACTGGAGGTCCGTTGGTTATTGGAAATCTTTTAGAAGGAATATTCTCATACGGAAACAAATTTTGTATCCCTGAATATCCTACAGTATTTGTTAGAGTAAGATCGTTCTTGGATTGGATTGAGACTCATTCCAATTGGAGAAGTAGCTAAATTTATTGTACATAATTGAAGTATGTAATTCAATAAAAGAGTAAACAATTTTTTTTTCAATTTATTACATGAAAACTAACCTTAAACTTTTGAAACATCTACTAATATAAGTAACTCAATAAATAATATTATCGTAAATTGACTAGGACCAAATCGTGAACTGTATTAAATAATATTAAAAATACCTGTGCGATCCGTAGGGCTGGAAGGATTAGTGCTTAGATGAAAACATCACTTTTCAATTACACATTTTAGTTTGTCCTTTACCTTTTTGACTTTAATGTTTACAATTTTGACGATGTCCTAGTGATGGGTTAAACAGCCTAATGGCTGCCTTTAATTTCTGAATTAGTTCATAGAACAAAATCTGCGTAAAAATGCATGTTTTATAAGATGCGTTAAATGTGAAAGATCATTCAATCGAAAAAAAAATGAGCGCAGCGCCATCTACATATTAATTTATATGTAAAACTAAAGCTTTGTTTGGATTTAAAAAATTAAAATGCCTCCATTTAATACGTTCGCCTCGGGCTGGAATAAAGCTTAAAATTTGGTGTTTTTGAGTTTTCTTCAATATTCGATAATCACACTTTTTCTCAAATATCTCGAATACGGTCCATTTTAGAGAAATTATGTATGGGGCAAGAATTACAGAGAATTATATCACAAACAATTTTTATTTGAACAATTTTCATAAAAAATTGATTTTTTTACATTTTGTCAAATTTCTCGAATACGGTCCATTTTAGGAAAATTTTGTATAGGACAAAAATTATAGAGAATAATATTGGAAATAACTTTTATTTGAACAATTTTTTTCTTCAAACTTAAATAACAGATATATTCATAAAATATAAAAACTATCCTTTACAAAGTATCCCATCAGATAGTCCGACTCTGCCCAAAATTTAATAATTTCACCGCAGGTCGGAATAAAGCTAAGTTCAAAATTTGGTGTTTTTCTCTTTGTCCGTTTTTGAGTTTTGTTCAATATTAGAGAATTACACTTTTTCTCAAATATCTCGAATACGGACCATTTTAGAAAAATTTTGTATAGAACAAAAAATATTGATAATAATATTGTAAGTAACTTTTATTTGAAGAATTTTCTACTCCAAACGTAAATAACAGATATATTCTATAAAATATAAAAATGACCCTCTATAAAGTACCTCCAGATGTTCCGACTTTGCTCAAATTCTAATCATTTCCCTGCAGGCCAGAATAAAGCTTAAAATTTGGTGTTTTTATTTGTATCCATTCACGAGTTCACGATTAATCTGAAATAATCGATTAATCAAAATTAATCGAATTGATCAAAAATAATCGATTCTCGTTTTTAGATAATTAAAAACAAGTTTCATTTATGTAAGATCTGTTTTTTAATAATCGAAATGTGTTGTCATCCACCCTTCTTCACCCCTCCCTTATCTTATCGTTCAAAAACGACTTTAACCTCGATAATTTTAAGTTGGTTTAAAATTTTTGAGGTTATGAACACTTCTTAATGTACCGCTTGATTAGATAAATATACTTACGTGATGAACTTACCATCCACATCATTGAACAAAGTCAGTTGACCTACTAGACTCAATTTCTTAAGCTAAGTGTAAAAGAAAACTAGTTTGAACCGTCTTTGAAGAAAGTCACTTAATAATAAGACAAATTTACACTTTTTTGATGCAATTTCAATCAATAATAAACTTTTAATATGTTAAAATTTGAATACATATTTTAAAAATCAAAATTTTTAATTTCTTGAATTATTTTATCCAAATTTTAAACCTGCAACACTTGTGCTAGAACTTAATAATAAATTTCTTAGGTATCTGGAGGAAATAAAAACAACTTACTTTCTTAAATCGTATAATATATTTTTATCACCCAAATTTGTGAATCTTACATTAATTAGATAGACTAGTCAACAATTTACAACCATAATTTTTAAAACAATTCCTACAATAACATAGCAAAATTTAAGGATATTTTGACTAGTGGCACATTCGCCTTTCAATACTGTTTTTATTATTATAATTATTATTATTAATTATTAATAAAGTTGGAAAGCATTTCAAAATATTCAATAACTAGCGTACGATGCTAGATATACTAGATCTTGCTGTATTTGCACTATCCTCGTCAGATTGATCTGGAGATATTCGAATGGCTTGGTACCATTGGTTGGTGAGATCTGTCATTTGACTTTTACAATCTTTCAATTCCTGTAAGAAAGATTTTAATGTAACGACTTTTTCTATGTGAAAAATTTGATATGTAACTTTGGTCTTTTTGTATTTAGACACCCAGTATAAATGTAAACACAAAAATAGTATGTAAGTATATATATATACAGATTGTAAATAATTGATTTTATCATTGGCTGAATACAAAATAAATTAGAAAGAATGATGTTGAAGAAATGAAACACTGTACATCAGATGCAGGGTCGACAAGAGGGGGGGACAAATTCAAGGGGCACAGCAGCTACAGGTGACGACGTTTTTTATTTTTTGTTAAGAAGTTCACCAGAAGAGCACTAAATAGAAGAAAATTTTGCTTGAAATCTTTTTTTTTTAATGTGATATTGAAAGGGCTTCATTTTTTTATAAAATTATTAATACACACCGGTGGTTAAATTGCGTGATAAAAATAAAATTATTATTCTTTGTTTTAAATTACTAAAAAATAAGTAGCAGTTGTGTTATCAGTTTACTCAAGTTATTTATAAATAACATTCTTACATTAATGCAGCATTTTGTTTATTTATCTACATTTTATGGAGTAAATATGCTTGAAACAAATATTTGATATTAAAATTAAGTTTTTATTTTTACCAAAAACACGTTACTGAATATATTTTCTTTAAAAAACAGTAAAAATTGACTCTATTTTTTTTTCCTGAAGCAAAAGTCTAAAACTTAAAATGTTGGTTCATTAAATTATAATCCCTGAATTTATGTGAGGCGACTTTTCTGAGTTCTAGGGGTGACTCATTAAAAGCTTGAAATCCCTTTAAAAATGTTGAATTTTTGGACTGTTTACTTGCAACTTATGGAATATGAAAATTAGATCTATTTCTTGTGTTATATTTATGATAGTAAAAGTTGTAAATGATTTTCAAGCAAAGAAAAATTAGAAAATTAAAAAATAAAAAGTTTAGAAAAATTCATTTAAAAAATTGGAAAAATTAGAAACATTGGAAAAATTAAAAAATTAGAAAAATTAAATTAGAAAAATCATAATAATATATTTAAAAAATTAAAAAAATTAGAAACGGCAAAATTAAATTGAAAAATAAAAAAAATTGGAAAAATTAGAAAAAAGAAAAATTAAAATTAATTTAAAAAATTAGAATAATCACTTACAAAAATTAGAATTCAAAAAATAGAAACATTTGCAAAATTAGAAACAAAAATTAGAAAATTAGAAATATTAGAAAAATTAAAACAATTCATTTAAAGAAATGAAAAAATTAGAATTATAAAAATAAAAAAATTATATTTCATTTAAAAAATTAGAAACAGAAAAATTAGAAAAAATATAAAAAAAAAATAAAAAAAAGAATAATTCATTTAAAAAAAAATAGAAAAAATTAAAAAAATTAAATTGAAAAATTAAAAACAATTGGAAACAGAAAAAAGGAAAATTAAAATTAGAAAAAATAGAAAAATTAGAATAATTCATTTCAAAAAATTAGAAAAATTAGAATAATTCATTTAAAAAATAGAAAAATTAGAATTAATTAAAAAAAATTTAAAAAATCGAAACAGAATAATTAATTAGAAAAAATAGAAAAATTAGAATAATTCATTTAAAAAATTAGAAAAATTGGAAATATTAGAATTAATTGAAAAAATTAGAAAAATTAATTTAAAAAATAGAAAAATTAGGAAAATTAAATAGAATAATTAAAAAAAATTAGAAAAAATAAAAAAATTAGAATTTAAAAAATAGAAAGATTGGAAAAAATAGGAAAATTAAGTAGAATAATTAATTAAAAAAATTAGAAAAAAATAAGAAAAATTGGAATAAATTAAAAAAAAATCGAAAAATAGAAAAATTAGAATTAATTAAGGAAATTAAAATTAATTAAGAAAATTAGAAAAAATAGAAAAATTTGAATAATTCATTTAATAAATTAGAAAAATTGGAAATATTAGAATTGATTCAAAAAATTAGAATAATTAATTTAAAAAAATAGAAAAATTGGAAAATTAGGAAAATTAAGTAGAATAATTAAAAAAATTAGAAAAAAAATAAGAAAAATTGGAATAAATTAAAAAAAAAATGGAAAAATTAAAATTAATTTAAAAAATTGGAAAAAATAGAAAAATTAGAATAATTCATTTAAAAAAAATTAGAAACATTGGAAATATTAGAATTAATTAAAAAAATTAGAAAAATTTGAATTTAAAAAATAGAAAAATTGGAAAAATTAGGAAAATTAAGTAGAATAATTAATTAAAAAAATTAGAAAAAATAAGAAAAAATAGAAAAATTAGAATTAAAACAAAATTAGAAAAAATAAATAGAAAAATTAGAATAATTCATTTAAATAAATTAGAAAAATTGGAAATATTAGAATTGATTCAAAAAATTAAAATAATTAATTTAAAAAATAGAAAAAAATAAGAAAAATTGGAATAAATAAAAAAAAATAATTAGAAAAAATAGAAAAATTAGAATTAATTAAAAAAATTAGAAAAAATAGGAACATTAGAATAATTAATTAGAAAAATTGGAAACATTGGAAAAATTAGGAAAATTAAGTAAAATAATTAATTAAAAAAATTAGAAAAAAATAAGAAAAATTGGAATAAATAAAAACAAATAGAAAAAATAGAAAAATTAGAATAATTAATTAAAAAAATTAGAAAAATTGGAAAAATTAGAATAATGAATTTAAAAAAATAAAAAAAATAAGAAAAATGGGAATTAAAAAAATTAGAAAAAAAATAGAAAAATTGGAAAAATTAGAAAAATTAATTAAAATTAGAATAATTAATTTAAAAAAATAGAAAAAATTGGAATAAATTAAAAAAATTAGAAAAAAATAGAAAAATTGAAAAAATTAGAATTAAAAAATTTTGAAAAAATAGAAAACTTGGAAAAATTAGAATAATTAATTTAAAAAAATAGAAAAAATAAGAAAAATTGGAATAAATTAAAAAAATTCGAAAAAAATAGAAAAATCGAAAAAATTAGAATTAAAAAATTTTGAAAAAATAGAAAACTTGGAAAAATTAAAATAATTAATTTAAAAAAATAGAAAAAATAAGAAAAATTGGAATAAATTAAAAAAATTCGAAAAAAATAAAAAAATCGAAAAAATTAGAATTAAAAAATTTTGAAAAAATAGAAAACTTGGAAAAATTAGAATAATTAATTTAAAAAAATAGAAAAAATAAGAAAAATTAGAATTAATTAAAATAATTAGAAAAAAATAGAAAAATTGCAAAAATTAGAATAATTAATTAAAAAAAAATAGAAAAAATAAGAAAAATTAGAATAATTAATTAATTAGAAAAATTAGAATAATAATTTAAAAAATTAGAATTAATTTTGCTATTAAGTAAATTTAAAAAGGTATACAACTTTAAAAAAAAAATACACTCACCTGTTGTGTAAATCGCCTAGTGAAGAACGGTCTAAAATACTTCAGATCATATTTAGCAAACCCTTTGATATGCTCAGAAACGAAAGACACCTCCACCTCGCCCTCGGTCGTTTCCGACAAATGCTCCGAATCCAAAGTTTGCCCCCACTCCCTCGTTTTGCTCAAAGTCACTTCTCTATCCTTCTTACGCTTTTTCAGTCTTCTAGATGGATTTTTAGTAGCTTGCAGAAACTTCAACAGAGGCATAGTCGCGCCGCCAAAAATCAGGGTGGTTACCAACACAATAATTAAAGTAGTAGTGATAATTACATGCCTTGTTTCATCACTGAAATTAAGATGCAGCGATAGGGCGTAAGAAATCGCCCCTCTTAATCCACTAAACCACATTATGAACATCATTTTTTTGGTAATTTGATGCTCTCTAAACCTATTGACTAGAATTGCTAATGGGAATATGTTACAAGCTCTACCAAGAAGACATAGAACTATGCTCCAGATGATTAAAGCAGGTTCTACTCTATGTTTGAAACTGAATAAAGCTAATCCTAAGTAAGCAAAAACGCAGGTTTCAGCTATAAAAGCCAACGTACGCAGAGTCTGCTGCATTGTTATTTGAGTAACAGTTGATAGATTGAAATGGGTATAATGTGACATAACTATACCACAAAATAATATAGCCATAATACCAGAAAGATGGATACCTTCTGCTAAAACGTACGGGGCGTAAGTAAAGACTAACATCATACCAAATTCTAGTGAAGGATTCTTTCTTAAATCAACATGCTTCAAAAGTAATGCACTTACAAGTGCAAAAACTACTCCAAGAAGTGCAGAAGCAAAGAACATCAAGCAAAATCGTTCTATTCCTAGAACAATAGCTTCACCAGTATTCATATCAGGATTATTAGATTCCAAAGCAGCATTAGTTAGAACTATAGCGATTGCATCATTTAAAATACTCTCACCAAACACTAACATGTTCAAAATCGGATCTACATTTAAAGCATGAAATATAGCAATAGTAGCTACAGGATCGACAGCAGATATTAAAGAACCAAACGCGAAAGACTCCACAAAACCAAGTTTATAAACAACATCAGCTAATCCAAGAAAATATATACCGAAACCTATCACAAAAGCTGAAATGGTAGTTCCAAATATAGCAAATAATAAAATAGAACCAATATTTTGAAAAAAATTACCTTTATGCAGATTATACCCTGATTCAAATATTATAGGAGGAAGAAGTATGAGGAAAAATGCTGTTGGAGAAAAAGCTTCTTCTTTTCTCCAATTACTAATATTTCTACTAGACAACGAACTCATTGTTAAACCTATTAATGCGCCTAAAAATACGATAACAATACTTTCAGGAACATAACGAAAATGAGTTTGAAGCATTAAATGTATCAATAGAATTCCTATTGCTAAAACGCATAAAACAAAAAATATAGCCATGGAACTGTTATGTTCATCTTCAGCAGCTTCTTTTGCTGGCAGTACGGGTACTGGATCAGCAGTTTGAGCTGTTGTAGTATTATTAATCTCTGCAGTAACATTTGTATGCTTTATAACAGTGGAATTATCAGTTTTATTTACAGTACCTTCAGTAGAACTCGCCAATGGGACAATTGTAGCTATAGTAACATTAGGATCTGGAATAATTTTCGCTTCTTTTATTGCTGTAACGTTCACAATAGTTTTATTCGCTACAGTTGTATTTTCTAGCGACGCAATATTGAGAAACAAAACTAGGCAAAATATAATAGAAATCGCGCATCGTTTGGAATTCATTATGAATTCATTAGAACTGTAAAACTGGTATTATTTTCTCAAATAATGAAGAAAATTCGAGACGTTTACTTGTACATGACAATTTTCAATAATAAAACAATGACGTCGTGACGTTTACGAGCTGTCATTTTTTTTTCACGTGATTTGAAACTTTCCATTACGAACTGTCAAAGTGCTGTACGTGGATTGTGATATGGCAACGCTGTGGGGCTGTTGATGTATAGTTATATAGATTGCTCAACACGGGTCGCATTGCCTAATGAATTTTTGAAATCATTCGTTAAAAGTAGTATGCGTCAATTGGCGCATGACATTTATCGCATGCGATAAGGATGGTATATTTTTGAATGCTCTTTGATAAATATTTTGCGAACAGATCAAACTAACGAAGAGTCGTAGATTATTTCAGCAAAATTCGTCGATCTACCAATTAGGCATTCCAAACAAATGAATAACCAGTGGGCAGGTTTGGTATATCTAAGGGTGGCGACATATGGTGTATTCTATCTACTTTACGTAAAATCATGAATAATGGATTACATTTAAATATTTTATGTCAAACACAATTAAAATAATATTTAAAAAACCCACCTATATATTTCTTCATAAATTGGCAGGCTTGGCGACTACTACTTTGAATAAAAATAGCGTCCAAGTTGCAAGACTATGTCGCTACCCCCTTAGATATACAAGAATTTCCCACTGGCACCTATTGTTTGACAGGTCGTTGGAATGCCTAATAGAAGCCTAGTGTGAAACTGATTTACCGAGATGAAATAACGTCATGTCATTGCAAAACCTATTAAATGTCTATTCGCAAGTGATTTCAATTTCGCATGCGAAAACGAATCGAGTAAGTCAAAAATACAGTTTTGGTAAAAGTATACGTTTTCACATACGTCGGATGGCAAATGATTTTAAAAATTAACCCCTTGGAGTGAAGTAGAATAGGCTTTAGGGTAGCTATTCTTGAATTCGAGGGAATAGAAAACCGATTTTCCATCTTTATCTGCAACGCAAAAAATTTGTATTTTTGTCTCATTCTCCCCTTAAAATTTCTACTTCCTGAGATTCAAGAATAGATACCCTGATGCGTCTCTATCTTAGACAATAAATGTACAGATAAGCTACCATTGCCTAAATTTGTTCTAAGCATTGCCCAAAGAACTGGAGGGCTATTTTCAAAGTATGGGAGTACTCATTTCTCTCAAGATTCTCATTAGAAATGTCATATGTCAATATGGAAATGCTGTTTTTAAAGGCCTCGAGTATTAAAATTCTTAGGAGAATATTAATTCTCTCTAAATAAACCGAGAGAAACAGTCAGTAAGTTCACATTGACTCTAAGAGTCCTAAAAATACTGTTTTATGTTGACGTATGACATTTCTCTTGAGAGAAATGAAATCTCTAGAGTTTGAAAATATCCCCCCTGGAGTAAGGATCAATCTATATAACTATCTATAGCATTGATCCTTTCAAATCATTAGTCTTACAGGGTTGCCATATCATAACTCACTGACTACCAAGTCAGTCAGTTTCATTGCTCTTCTTTTTGTAAAATTAAAACACCATTTCAACTGTGCTCAAACTGTGCTTGTAGAAGTCATATTATTATACTTATAAATTATACAAGATAAAAAAACTTAGAAGATAATCCAACCTTTTCAATGAGAAAATAGTTGTTTTATTTTCTCAAAGATAAAAAAACTAAATATATGGTTTTTCTAAATACTTAAATGCAAATTAGCCATGAAATATTCTTTCCTACCCTTTTATGACAGTTCGTCAATGAAAATCGGAACACGTTTACAATTACAAGCACCATTTTAGTCCTAAGATTATTCAGAATGATTTTCCTTCCTTCTCTAATGACCGATTCCACCGTTGTGTTACACGAAGTTTAAAATGACATTTTTACATTAACAATGTCATTTTAATCTCCGTTTAACACAACGGTGGAATCGATCCTAATTGGAGTGAATAGACTAAATGAACGCGCACCTACTCTGTTCGAAAATGACTATTGATTGACATTTGACATGTTTAGTTCTTCTATTTTTATTTGACACAAATATGAAGTTTTATTATAAAATTAAAAACGCACAATCGAAAATTATGTGATTTCTTCCAGTAAACAAACTATGAACTGTCTCTTGTGGCTTATTCCCGTGTTATTGATGCCGAAACCTTCCAATCCAGCCCTCGTACAGACACACGTTATGTTCATGATATTATACCTAATTGGGTTTTTCTTGGAGAGAAAACCATGTACAATATGTAGCTTACTATTTCTAGCAACAGTATTTCTGATTTGCTACAGTGGACTCGGAAATTGTTTGTTATGGGCTTCGCATTGTGACAGTGATAATGGGTAAATAAACTCAAGATTCTGAAATAACTTTTGGGTTGTTAGCTTTAAGAAGAAATGAATTCCATTCCTTGTGAGACGAGTATTGTGTTAACGTGCAGTTAAAGCAGACATCAATAGGTGTTCCGTTATTTATTGAATTGTAAATATTTTTGTATATTTTATCCTTTGTATACATATGGTGATAGATATGTTTTTTATGCCAAAGAAATTAGTTCTTGTAGTTGCCTTTTATATTACCTGTTAATAAATTATTTACAAATTGATAAAAATGTCTTCCAATCTTTTGTAAAATTAATAATAATAGTTAATAATGTGCTACAACTGCAAAAAAATGTTTACCTAACCTAAAATGGGTTATTTTTGGTCTTATATTCCAAGGTGCAATTAATATGGGTATTTTTTCCAATGATAGTAAGGAAAAGTATGTATATATGATCTCTTTTCGATTATGTTTCAGTAAATTATGTATTACGGTATCATCCTAATATACGGAGGTGCGAATTTAGAAATTTTGGCACTAGTTTATTGAATTAGCTAACTTTTTATAACATTTCAAGTAAAATTAAGTATGGAAAATTATTTTGTATTCAATATTTTCATTTAGATTATAATTAAATGCAATATTTTCAAATATTGTGACCATTTAACCTAACTTTTATCATTATTTCCTTCCACAAAACATAATGATTTATGGATTTGTCTATGGTTCCTTGAGTTTACAACGTTGCCACGTTATTGAATTTAAAATCACTGTGTGTGATGTCCAAGTTTGTATTTAATAGCAATAATTGTGTTGTCAGTTGTGGATTCAAATATTTATTATTGTCTCTATAACTAATGACAAAATTGACAGCTTTGTTGTTCGCCCAATTTAAATTAGGTGTAATATATTTCTTTTTAATAAATGATTTTCGAGTTATTTGTACTAAGTTATATGTTTTTTTGTTACATTATCCAAGTTAACATTGTCTTTGAATATCAACTGTTATTTTCATAATGAATGTAGATATAGGCAACACTTCTTACGAAAAATGTTCAGTTTTTATATATATTTTTTGTAGAAAAAATATCGTTGCCTCTTTCTGTCTCAAGCGACTCTTAATACACAAATAGCTATTTTAAGAAAAGGGCGTCTTCCAAATATTAACAGACATTTAATTTTTACATTTTATGTACGATTATTATCGTAAGTAAACCATAAATATATGAGTTTCGATCACTTCAATTTTTTATAATCTGGCAATTCATAGATTATAAAATAATCCTGAATAATAATAATTCATGAACAACTTGGCAACGTTGTTATTTTTAAGACAATCCCGTCACTTAGGTGAATATAACCTGTAAAATTGAGTTTTTTTGATTAATTTTTTTCGAAAAATGCTGGTTTATTCGTAATTTTTTTTACAAAAATGTATTAAAGAAACTAATACCTTTTGAGTGTTTACATTTTTTTTTGTAAAATTCGCACCTCCGGATAGTAGGATGTACCCTTGTACAACAAATAATTTTTGATGTAAATCGTCGAATATTAGACAAAAATGCTGTAGAATACATCGAAATGCTATACATATTGTCACCCTATAGTAAGCACTATGTATACTGGTAGTATCTCATCAAAAATTACATTAATATTCAATAAAACTTTCGTTACTAGAGTATTCTACAAAGTAATGTATAAATACACTATTTCTTACCGGATTCATAAAAGATATACACATATTTATTAAAAGAAACCTTTCTTTTTTAATTTAGTGCTCTTACACTACAAATTCTGTTTAATAGTCACTATATTTGTTATTTTTCTGAGGTTTGTCAGGGCTTAAAATTAAAACTAAATAGACTGGTACGGAATTACTTATATTACAGAGAAATAATACACATTGTAATAATTATTATTCTTCTTTAAAAACCTGCAAATAAATAAAAATATATTAGTTATTATAATCATTAATGTACAACCAAAACTTAGGTTAGGTATTCAAATTATTCACACATTTTTGATAATTTTCTATAATTTATTAAACATTTAGAGACAAAATCATTACCTAATTAGAAAACTATCTCAATCTTCTTGCTTCACGTTCAGATTCCAACAGGGTGAGGATGTCTCCTTCTCTTACGGGGCCTTTGACGTTCCTTATGATTTGTCGGTTTTGTTCTCCGAGGAATTCAACTTTTACTTGGGTACATTGTCCCTGGGATCCAGTTCTTCCCAAAACTTTCATAACACGAGCGAGAACTACTGGTTTATCCATGATTTTTTAGTTTTTTAGATGATGATTTACAGCTAACACGTGCAACGTATGGCTTTAAATTCAGAAAGGAAAAAGATATGACAATTGACGGGTGACATTTGACGATGTATGGAAATGAAGGTGGGTTCGTTTATTTAGGAGTTACCAATGATATATAATTTATATAGACTGCTCTTCCCTCAGAGTAGTACAGAGAGGACAGTAATATTTGTGTCGCCTTAATAATATGGTTGAGAATCGCATCCAACTGCTAATTATGGTCGATTCCACCGTTGTGTTAAACAGAGATTAAAATGACATTGTTAATGTAAAAATGTCATTTTAAACTTCGTTTAACACAACGGTGGAATCGGTCCTAACTCGCCCATCATCGTCGTGTACGTAACACCGAAGTGGTTACTCCTCTCAGTACAGAGCACCACCTCTAGTCTT